ATTATTTGCAGTATTATAATATTAAGACGGCTATGAAAACAACATGGCGTTCGCGATTTGACAGCATTAAGATAAGCGACAAATTGTTAAACTGGACATACTCGCAACTAGAAGGCTTTGGAAAACAATGATAAAATCAAATAATGTCAAACATTAGTGTAAATACTTGTTTATACGCTTTATTGTGTCATTAATTTAAAGAAAAATGTTCTCCCATGAAGAAAAGTGTGATATGTTAGAATGCTATTTAGTGTGCAGAAAATCCTCCTTGAGAGCAAGAGAATACTACAGTGAATTATATCCCGCTCGCATTCAACCGTATGAACGATATTTTCTGAGACTTTATCGAAAATTTAGGGGCAACGAAAATGTTTTTGCTAAAACAAGGGCAAAAAAAGAATTCATAATAAGCGAGGCCACGGAAATTGCAGTTATTGGATATTTTGAAGCTTATCGTGAGAATTCAATAGCAGATATTCTCAAGGACTCTAATTTCAGTTATGGTACTGTTCAAAGGATTTTAAAAAAATACAAATTTATTCCGTATAAGTACCGACCAGTTCAAACGCTTTTGGCAGGGGATCCAGAGAGAAAACTTGTTTTTTGCCATTGGTATCTTAGCTTCTGTCGCCAAAATGTAAATAACTTTCGTTACCTTTTATGGACAGATGAATCAAATTTTTCAAATTCTGGAATGTTTAATAGAAAAAACCACCATTATTGGTCAAGAGAAAATCTTTTGTTAGTACATCCAAGAGGCCCACAAGTCCGTTTCAGTTTCAACGTTTGGTGCGGTATAATTGGTTCAAAAATTGTTGGCCCGTTCTTTTATGAGGGAACCCTAACTGGTGAAAGATATGTGGAATTTATGTCAGAAATTCTGACTAATTTCTTAGACGAATTGGATCTTATAAGTAGACATGATCTGCATTTTCAGCAAGATGGCGCACCTGCCCACAACTCCAGAGGTACTTATCATTTTCTAAGTACTACTTTTAATGATCAGTGGATAGGAACAAATGGCCCAATACAGTGGCCTCCCAGATCACCAGATCTAAACCCACTTGATTACTTCTTGTGGGGTTACTTAAAGAACCAAATTTACAAGCGAAGGTACGATAACCTTGACGCGTTAAAGACTGCAATTAGGGAAAAGATAACCCAGATAGATGGTAGGACCATACTTAAGACAGTTCGAGCAGTTGAAAAACGTGCCCAAAAATGTATTGAAGAACAAGGTGGTGTTTTCGAGCATCTTCTTTAAAAAAAATTGTTATTGTATTTTGTAAGATTATAAGTTGATGTTGAAAATAAAGTTTGTCGATACAATTTAATTGTTTCAGATTGGAGGCCATAACTTCAACAATTTGTAACCTAGGAGAAAAGTTATTGTAAGCTTTTTTGTTTAAAATTTGATGCTTTAACAGAAAAAAATATAATATACAGGGGTTTCCATTTAAAAAAATGTTATTTTACTGAAAAAAATCAAAATAACGACTCTCAATTGTTTTTTTTTTATTTCTCATTTTTACCAGCGTTAAAAATGCTACTAGTTTGCTAATTCAAACAACTTTGTATTTTCACTAATAACAAAGTTACTAATGGTGGACACTTAATTTGGATAACCCTGTATACGGGCTTTCATTATAAGTGAATTCCACTGTATTATGGCAATGATGAAAAAGGTTTGGATGTTTTCAAAATCGTTCCACTGGTGGAGGGCTTTTGAATAATGATTATTTTCAGTTAGCTTTATAGGTTCGTGGCATGATTTGAGGCTGATCCTTCAGGTCCAAGCAATGATAGTATATCTTAAAAAGAAAGTGTGTGTTTGTTTCAATGGTGATACTCACGTAGCGGCGCCGTCAGCCTGTCAAAGCACAACCAAACGGGGACCGTGCGCCACACATCCTGTTCGTTTCAAGGCACCACATGAGCGCAACACTTACATATCTAATTTCACCCAGAATTATTTTTGCTTTTTTTTTCATAGCATCGTATAACTTATTATGACATATACTGTAGAGACAATATTTTGACCGGCAGAAACGCTATCACAAATGCCTACACAGAGTTCCATACACCGTACGAGCCAGGAAACATTTTCGATTTCTAGTCACAAATCATTTTCTTGTATTAAGTCTCAAAAAAAAAAATGGGAAAATATTCCAAAATCACGATTTTTATTTCTGCCATGACACAGTGTGTTAAGAAGGCACCAGGTCAGACAAATTCCTTGACCGATTCTAAAAAGGTGTTTATAAGTGCTTTATATCGACCACATTCTTAGTAACTTTTATAATCTAATCTAAAATGTTTTTAAATCGGGTAATTAACAAATAAATGGCATTAAGTTTTTCTAAGTTAAGCCAAGGAATTAGGCCGCCGCGTAGGACTATCGCATACCATAGTCCATAGAATCCTACGGGAAAATTTGCCTTAAAAATTTTCAGTGTTCATCAAATATTCCTCTAATTTTCTTTTAAATATTACAAGTAGACTTTATATCATTACAGCAGACGCTCGATAACGTAAACACGGGATAATGAAAACTTGCGCTAATGTAAACACAAACTTCGTTCTATGGGATCAAACGGAACGCGCGATAACGTAAACAATGTGTACGCTCGATAACGTAAACAACTCTCGGCGCACGGAGACAGCGCGACGGTAAAATGCTGAAGCCTCGATGATTTATGTCGGGCGTCGGGGAGTCCCCGATTTATGATGTAGAGTGTAGGGGATTCACCTCTGCGATAAAATACGACAAACTCGGTCAGTCGTATGATCGTTTAGGATACGTTTATACGTACGTATGTATTTCATTTTTGAACTTAAGTGAATACATTGCACGCGTTAATATAATGTACGACTATGGCATCCACATCCTATAAAAGCAAGTGTTTAAAGTTGAGTGAGAAAGTGAAAATCATAGACGAGGTTGTACTAGGTGCGGGAGTGACACAGTTAGCAAAAAAATATGGAGTATCGAAAGCAACAATCTGTAAAATTAAGCGCATGAAAACTCAAATTTTACAAAGAACGTGCATTTGGAGGTCCAGGAAAAAGAAAAACTTTAAAAAATGCGAAGGCACCTAAAATGGAAAATTCCCTGTATAAGTGGTTTTTAAAACAACGGGAAAATCATGTCCCAGATAGCGGCGAAGTACTTAAACAGAGAGCGAGACTGTTAAATGAAAAACTGAAAGAAAATGAAAATTTCGTAGCTAGTGATGGCTGGCTACAACTATTCAAAACAAGATATGGAATTTGACTGCTGTCTATATCTGGTGAAAAATTATCAGCACAACCACAATTAGTGCAACCATTCAAAGAAAAATTGATGAAAACAATTACCGAGTTAGATTTAAGAATCGAACAAATTTACAACGCAGATGAAAGTGGCCTTTATTGGAAAATGTTACCAGAGAAAACCTATGCTGCATCATTTGAAAAATCTACCGCGGGAAGAAAGCCGGAGAAACAACGAATAACGTTTCTAGCCTGCACTAATGCTAATGGTTCACACAAAATAAAGCCACTGGTAATTGGGAAAGCAAAAAATCCGCGCTCATTTAAAAATGTTAATATCCCTGTTGATTATGACTGTTCAAAAACAGCTTGGATGACTAGCAGTATATTCCTGAAATGGTTCCACAGATGCTTTGTCCCTCAGGTATGACAATCAATTATCACAAATGCTCTATTCATAATTTGAAGATGTGTTTTCACTTTGTAGGTAAAAGGTTTCCTAAAACAACAGAAACTTCCAATAAAAGCGTTGTTACTATTGGATAATGCACCAAGTCATCCTCCCGAGCAACAACTGAGGAGCAGGGATGGGTCAATTTTCGTCATGTACGTAACACCGTTAATTCAACCAATGGACCAGAATATAATAAGACTCACCAAACTATACTATAGGAAGTTTCTACTTTCGTCTGTCTTATCAAAGAATCCTGAAAACTTATCTGAGGCTTTAAAAAAAGTAACATTAGGAGAAGCTGTTTTAGATTTACATATGGCCTGGAATGAACTTAACCAGCAAACTATTCAAAAATGTTGGAACAATCTCTTTTGTACCAATAATGAAAATGATGAAGAAGACGATGTCCCCTTAATAGTAATTAGAGAACGTTTGCGATTCAATAATGATAATGTTATTAGTGTGTCATTGGATGTTGTTGATTTATTGAAAACAGTGAATCCCAACATTGTACTCCTGCTGATATTAATTTATGGAACGAAGATAAGCAGACGAAATATGCTGATAAGGAGGAGGATATGGACAGTGAGGATGATGAGAACGATCCCATTGAAGTCAGAAGTGTAGTGACTGACGCGCAAGCTATACAAGTTTTTAACCAAGCTTTAGATTGGGCTGAAAGAAAAGAAGTTTCATACACGGATATTTCAGTTCTTCGTAAATTACGGGCGCAGGCATTGGAAGACAATGCTAAGCGCAAATTTACGCAGACAAAAATTGTTAATTATTTTTCTTCTAATTAAAAAAATACTTATCGCTGTTAGAATATTTGTTTATTTTGTTATAAATAGTATGTATTAAACGTTTCTTTTAATAAATCAAATATTATATAAATCACGTTCGCTAATGTAAACATTTCGATAATGTGAACCACACTTGGATTAAATTAGTTTACATTATGGAGCGTCTGCTGTATTTAGTTCACTGAATTCAAGTAATCCTTTCTCAAATATTGATACTATTGCAATTTTGTAAATGAATATCTATATTTTTTATTTAATAAAGTTTGACATTATGTTTATAAAATATCCTGTTGGAATCACTCGAAGTTTGATCGTGTCCTTTATAAACACCCTGTATATTCAAAATGTTTTTTACTATAAAGCGTGACTCAGGTAAATGACAGTATGGAGCCATAATAAGTTATACTATAACAAAGCCAATTTTGTGACTATTTTTTATACAAATTTCTGGGATTGAAATTAATTAGGATTCATCGTAATTTTATACTTACTTTCATGATTTCACGGAACTTGCCAATTTCTCTGGTTATGAGATCCCGTTTTTCTTCTTCAACTTCTGCGTCTGCCAGCACCCTATTCCACTTCTCATGTACTTCCTCTGAAAAAAAATATATATATCAAGATTAATCCTCATGGAGTGAAGTATAAAACATGTAAAATCACCACTATATATAGCCCAAGTAATGTTTCAAATAATAAAAAAATACAGCACAATTTTATAAGAAAAGAAAATCGCACAGTGAAAATTTTGGTCATGCATCATAGCTTTTTGTTTTAAGAAAGCTGTCACATGATCAGCATTCACTATGGGCCATACCATAAATATGTACTGTTCATTGATACGAGGTTGTCTCAAAGAGAAGGCATGAGGAATTTTTTATTTCAAAAAACGAATTTATCAATGGAAAAGATCTTTAAGCTATTTTTCTACACAGTCGCAATTTTTTATATGGGATATTTTCAAAAAAATCGTAATTTTTTAACAGTAAAAATGAGCTTTGCTGACCTGAGACATTTTTGACATATTTCAACAGTACCTATTGTGAGAGAGAAACGAATAAGCTTTAATTTGACACCAAACTTTCCATGGTTAATGGTGTTTTTCAGTATCATTTTGCAGTATTACTTTCTTCTTCTTGCTAGATGGATTTACCATCTATTGTTTTTTTTATTGGACAGCTTCATATTCACGTGAACACCTACAGAATAACCTGTAACCTCATTTAAATGTGTATGACTAGTAGATTTATATTTACCTTCTTTTCTCAATTCAAATCTATCCATTTCCTCTTTGTAGTCGATCAGAATCTGCCTGATCCGCTCCATCGCCACAGAATCAAGAGCTTGAGTTTCTTCATCTAATTCTTCTTCCTCAGGCTCATCTTGAAGAGGAGATGTTGTTCCTTTCTGCCTTCTTCTTCTTTCAGCTAAATAGAGACAGAGAAATGCAAGTCTGTTGAAGAAAACTTATCCAATACCAAGAGACAAACAAGTTGTGTGCTAATTTGGCGTCTTATTGCAATGAACAACACTGCCAAAACTAACAAAATCAGAACAAGGATCTTCAAGATATCAATAAGAACATTTTTTACAAAACCAGATATAACCTTCATTTCATACCCTTGGGTAAAAGTAATGATTAATGGACATTACCTTTATATTCATCGAGAACAGTCTTAGTTTTGGCGTCGACCTTGGCTACGAGCCTCTTTTCGCCCACCATGAGATCATGCAGCAGCCTGACAGCTCTGAGTCCGGCGTCCGGACCAGCCAATTCGCAAAAACCGAACGCTTTCACCTTTTTCCAGCTGATCACGTGGCCGCACGCGGCGAGGATCTGCCGAATCATCATGTCCGGAGCTCGTTCGGTTATATTACCTGTCAAAAAATGAACGTTTTGGTTCCAAACACAACCTAATCGTTGATTAGCAGCTGATGGGCAAGGATATTTTTTTTGCAATCTGCTTTTCCTATGATACATATTAATAAAGTCCTGCATATATCAGCTCTGCATGTGTACAGATCCCAAATCTGACGCTAATTTGACGCCAGGAAGGTCCCAGATGGCTCAATGTCTTCCCCAAGTTACTGTAAATCCACTATGGAGTAAAGAATATAAACCAAATTCCTTTCAACCAAACTTACCAACAAAAACAGTAACCGCTGGTCCCTGCATCTGCTTTTGCTGCTCTCTATTAGGGTTCAGCTTAGGAAACGCTCTGATGGATGGGGCACTACTGACTTGTATTGGCACCATCTAACAAATATAATCTGTTTAACATGAAAGTGTATAATGCCAGGGGAATAAAAAAATAAAGACAACTGAACTAGATAGACTAACCCCACAGCTCTGCATGTGTGGAAGTAGTTTTGTTATAGGCTAATTTTTAAGCTAGTTTAAATGGAAACAAGCCTATGCAGAGCCTTTTTGAGGAACACAAGGCTTTTAAAAGTGAACATATAAATCAAATGAAAACACTTGGTAAAAATCATTCTGACAAATTTTCTTATCATCAAGCAAATTATTTTTCAAAGTTTTTGCCTCAATATCCCCTGTAAACAGTAGATTTTTACTTGATTAACAGACAACCTCATAATAATTTTTTTTACACTAGCAAAAGTTGGCATGTGCAATGCTGAAAAAAACTACTAATAAGGATTATATCATTTGTTACATAAGTGAGCATCTTTGCAGTTGAATAAGTATTTTTCATTTATTTAGGTGACTTGATTATTATTACTTTGAGTGATCTCATGCGAAAAATCAAGTTTGATTTAAATACTGGTTTTTATAAAATAAACACTTGATATGAATAAAATAATTTTAATTAATGAACAATGCAAATACACCTTTTAAACTTTGTATAAAAAACTCCATGTTAAATGACACCATATATGTAGAAATGATCCTTAAATCCAACAAACCTTTTTGCAATTGGATCAGGTTTGAGTTTTGAGCAAAAATAAATATCTCATATTACATTATCAAAATATTGGTTTCCAACATTTCCTTGTACAAGATTTTTTGGTATAAGATCAAGCCGAGATAGTGCAATTTAATTTATTTGTCAAATGCAACTCTGATGATGTCCAAAACACAATAAATGTTAATATAAACTTACTGTACTGTAACTGACCAATAAAACGAATGAATTTCCATGCATTTTGAGTTTCATCTTGTACTTACGTGTTGAATGGGCATCACAGCAGACATCATAGGAGGAGCAGGAGCACCCATGGGCATATAAGGCATAGGCAAGCCCTGCATAAGGGGAGGACGTCCAGGGAAAGACATTTCACTAGTATATTTGTCTAATACAGATTTGATGTATTTGCCATGAAATATTGCAGATCGTTGATGCCTTGCAAACACAGCTAAGCCACGGGGCACCTATAAATGTGTTGCAGTGTCGGTGTACCTATGAGAATTACAAAATAATGAAGATTTTACAGCACAGTATTGTGTTAGAATTAGGTTTATTATTTTTATTTATGGCGTATATGAAAAAATTATAACACGACACTCCACACCGAAGGTGAAAAGACCCCAAAATTGTTGACAACTGACAAATTACATGACGTTTGACAAGAACAATCAACGCCTTCCAGCGTAAAAACTTTTCGTTCTATGATCAAGGAGCAGATAAAAATAGAAGTAAGCTTTATGACAAGACATTAGACAATATCCATTTTTCACACTACTGTTAACCTCAATCTGAATATTTATGAATGATGGCCCGAGATTATCCGTAGTTAAAATGTTCACGAAATCGTCGCCCAACACTTAAAAATATTCAAATGAGATTGGAAAACTACCGCTTTTACGTTCTAAATTTATTGTCGTTACCCCGGGATAGACATAGGTTTTCAAACTTGACCTTGTCATCCTTGTCGCCTAGATTACGGTGTTGCCAGCTCACCGAACGATTTTCTTAGAATGATAGAAATATGAGCCATTTCTACATGAAAGCCTATTCTGACTTTGCAAGATAGGGAAATCCGTCTTACACGCAGATATTAGGCATTCATTTTGAGGAAGCTAAAAATGAACAGCTGAAGTATTTGAACTTGAATACAAATTATAACTCGTCGATCATTATATCCCTACTCTTGTTGGACATTTGGTGCCCACGTATCCTCCAACAACCGAGGTAAGACATTGTAGTTTCCTAGACACGGGGCTGAATGCCCATGTTAGAAAACGCCAATGAATTAACGTTTGATTTTTTGTACCATATTTAGTAAACATAGTGCCAAGGGCTTAGTGTCAAAGCACGATGTGAAATACTGTCAATGATAGACTATCACCAATTCCTTGGATTAAGTAGTTTTTTGTCTTGTCACATTCTGCCTCCCAATGTTGCCGTTCTCTGCTCCAGTTCAAACTTTGACGACGTAACATCAATTGATGCTTAAATCAATAAATATCAAATAAAGCTGACGTTTACGTATGCTATACTTGTGACTGACCTAACTCGCTGCTTACAACGATACTTCAACTCAATCCTGACGTTTATTTAAGCGCTCCTGTCCGTTATTACCTACTTATTTTATCCTATAAGACTGGGCATTTATAAAAGTGTTCAGAGACATTAATGTTCCGCCGCATATACATACGTCAACCGACGCAAAATGTAAACAACAGCTTTTTATATTTTTTTTTGGCAAACATTGTTACGCCTCAAATTTTATATATCACCATTGGTATCCCTCAAAGCTTCTTTTTTTTCTAACATTTTAGCAAAATAGCCGAGGTAGCAAAATAGCAGAGGTAGGTAATTGTCCGACGAGCTGGCAAGGTCGCAATCTAGGTGACAAGAATGACAAGGTCAGCTGCCAAAACGTATGTCTATCCCGAGGTAAGGTCAGAGACATTTAGTACGTCAAAACGGCAGTTTTCCAATCTTCATTTGCGTATTGTTAAGTGTTGTGCGACGATTTCGAGTAAAATGTCGCTACGGGTAGTGTATTTCAATACTTGTCTTGCGTGGCCATGTTATCTTTACTCGGGCCTGAGTTAGTTTAGTTCACTAAATTTCCACTGTTATAATGAAATTTTGTTTTTCTGATAATTAGCTGTAGGGACGAAAATGTCGGATATAAACACTTGATTGGCAGCACCAACGATTGTATATCTGTTTGCATTCTGTTGTTTGGTGTGCAAAATCCTGAATTTAATGCTCTGTGCTCCTACTTGACCCTGTCAAGTTGTGTCAAATATTTTTGCTTTTGCGTCAATCAAGAAGAAAATTGATAAAAAATCCTATGGTGGTCAAAGGAATGTTTGCAGCTGTTATTGTTTGTACCAAACAATTATATACAGTTTTCAGTGATGCTGTGTAATTTTCGAAAACTGTACACCGTACATAACTGATCGGATAGTGTTTCATCAACATACGAATCTGAGAACCAGTACAATGTCATCAAGTATGGTGAACACCACAACAGTGGGAAATGTGAATCACCCACCATCAGAGCCGATATTCCTGCAGACAAAGCTGTGTCAGAGTATAGCAGGACTATTCGTATTCGCAGCACTCTTTCTGACATGCACTCAAATCTATCACCATTTGAGATGGTATACCAATCCTACAGAACAACGTTGGATAGTCAGGATCCTGTTTATTGTCCCAATTTATGCAGTCTACTCATGGATAAGTCTATTATTCTTCAATTCTGAGAGTTACTATGTGTATTTTTTCACTGTACGAGATTGTTATGAAGCTTTTGTCATATACAGTTTCCTTTCACTTTGTTATGAATACCTTGGTGGTGAAGGTAACATTATGTCTGAGATAAGAGAGAAGCCTATCAGAACGAGCTGTTTTTATGGTACTTGTTGTTTCAATGGTAAAACATACACAATTGAATTCTTACGTTTCTGCAAGCAAGCGACTCTTCAATTTTGTATTGTCAAGCCAGTTATGGCTTTTGTTATAATTTTCCTGCAAGCCTTTGGACATTACCACGATGGTGACTGGAGTCCGGATGGTGGATACCTATACATCACAATAATTTACAATATTTCAGTCTCTTTAGCGTTGTACGGATTGTTCTTATTTTATTTTGCAACAAAGGATCTATTGACACCATTCGAACCTGTTTTGAAATTCTTCACAATAAAGTCAGTGATCTTCCTATCCTTCTGGCAAGGAGTAGGCCTGGCCATTCTTGAAAAAGCCGATGTGATTTCACCGATTATCGACAGTACTGGTACGCATACATCTGCTGGTACAGTTTCGGCTGGCTACCAGAATTTCCTGATCTGCATAGAGATGTTTTTCGCTGCTGTGTCCTTGCGATATGCATTCCCCTACAGGATCTATGCTCACGGATGTATTACAGACTCGAGAGGGCGCTCTGTTACGATGCAGAGCATATCGAGCAGCCTGAAGGAAACGATGAATCCTAAGGATATTATGACCGATGCCATCCACAACTTCCATCCTCAGTACCAGCAGTACACCCAGTACAGTTCAGATATTTCCCATCAACGGTATGAAAGTCTGTGATAAATGTGAACGTCTGTTATGGAACCTCTCTAACTAGTAATCTTGATGTTTAAATGGGGTAATTATATGGATGTATTTAAAAAAAAATACTATTAACAGCATAAACTTATAGATAGTATGAATATTACAGTCTATACCTTATCTCGTAGGAATTTTGTGAATATATTTTTAAAATTTTTTTTAATTTGCTGAAAGATACGACTTTTCAGCTGATTATTTATTAGAGAGGTTTTGTGACAGTTTATTGTCTTTGTCAGTGTGCACTATTTTGGGAAATTAGCAAAATAAAAATAACTTATTTTATGTACATATTAATTATATTTAATAACAATGCTGCCACATCAAAGCTTATTTTCATTATATTACATTTCTTTGTTTCAAGATCATGTTTATGTAATAACAATAACAAACAATCAAGGTTAAGGTATTGTGTGTTCATGTTTATCATTATGTGTCTTTGCCCTATAATATTCTCAGAATTCATCTATATTTAAAAACTGTTAATCAAGGCACATAATTATAAATTAGCAATGAAATTAACTAATAATTTTTTGATAATGTCAATGTTCTGTAGTCAAATCCTTTGGATTGCCTTATCAGCAAGAAGATACACATTGTAATCTGTATTGAGTAGAGATAAAAATATTTGTACAAGCTTATTACGTGCTTTGGGGCTTAAAAGATTTCAGTTACATTGAATTTTACTATTTTGTTTCTTATATTTCAAAATTTTATTCTTCAATAGTATTAGATTTTCAAAACACTTCAAATCACTTTGATGTGTTCTATAATATGACAAATACATTTTTTTGTAAAGGTACTCTTATATATAAACCAACCACATATATTTTGGGAAAAACACGTCAATTTTGATTTCTAGGAAGACGTCTTTTCATCTATAGTCGTACAATACAGGGTGATCCAAACATAAGAGACGTGTCTCAAAATTTACCAGGAGAGCCACAAATTAGGGTGCGACCTTTTCAATGGGCCACCCTGTATATTCTTATTGTTTTTGAAGCTGGTACCTAGCGATTTTCAACTGTTGATTGAGACTTTCCAGTATATTGTCTAAATCTTGTGTAAATGAAGATGAGCTTTGTCTTTTTCAATTGCTAGGAAATCTGCGCAATGTTCATAACATCATGATGCAGTGTTAACATTTTTACAAGAGGTTGCTTTAGCGTTTTGAGTGTATCACCTGTTATAATGCAGTACGAAAAGTGCAGTCACTTTTTGTTTTGCTTTTTGTGTACTTTTGATTTGCTTTTCTGAATTGGCAATTAGGGCAGGTTGTTTTTATTTCATTTATTTTCCTTTTTAGGTTCAAATAAAGTCGAAAGAGGACATCACAGGAAAATCTGTAAAGGAGCAAAGGTGTAGCTTAAAAATTCCTCGCTTATTTGCTTTTACCCAATAAATAGATATTCGCAAATCAAACTAGTTAACATATAGTGAACATTGTTGTGTTGATGAATTAAGATTTTAAGTACCTGTTTCTGTACATTTTTTAGAGGATACATTGGCGAGATTGTAGCACAATATTCTATAGCTCAACATGATGACTCACCTCATATAAAGATCTATTTTTGGTAAAATGTTGTGCTCATGAAAAACAATTCCAAATGATGTATTTGTGATTTTTTCAATTGCCTGGGATTTAGAGTTGTATTTATCAATTTGCAACACATGAAAGTAACTCATGTCCTTTAAGTATTCCTGTCTCTAGTCTTGATACAAGTATATGCGTTCCAGCTAAGTAGCTTTTCTACAAAAATAAAGCGTTTTAGAGTCACTTAAATAAGAGATATTCCGACAGAATATCCCCAAGATCGACATTCAAGGCATACTAGGTAATATATATATATATATATATATATATATATATATATATATATATATATATATATATATATATAATTTTCCGAAGTAAAGGATTTATCCTATGAAAAACGCTGTACAAAATGGTTGTTCATGATTCTTCGGAAGAGCTTCGCGTCGCTTATTAAGAGTATGATATGATAGCAAAGTCTGGATCATCAGAATGTTAATTTGTATATGAAGAATCTTTGGACATGCGTAGTTTTCAGAGTATGAGCAAAACATTAACTTACTTCTATTAATTGGTGGGTGTAATTTTCTTATGAATGTTCTTTAAATGTATAGGGTGCATTTTCCTATGGATTTGAACGGACCATGTTGGGTTAACAGTCCTGGATCTGTAGACCTTATCATTTGTCATTCTAAGGGACGTATCGTCAGTCGTTTCAACAATTGCAGTGCGCCTTTACGGCCTCCTTCATTTTCATAGTTCTCTACTTTTCCGTATCAGCGCTCTAATTTGAGGTTATGTTACAAACATTTATATGCATAAAATTGTTTATACTTTTGATTTATGTCATCTGTTATATAGTCTGAAATTTCCCACAATTCAAGAAGAAAACAAAGCCCGACAATAGGAGAGGGCTAAAGCTGACATGGAACAGTAGAACTCTAGAAATATCACAGCCTTTCTGAAGGAGAGGAAAGACTATGAAAATCCAGGAGGCCATAAAGGCATCCTACAATTGTAGGAACGACTGACGATACGGCCCTAAAAATCCTCAACCTTCTGTTTTTAAGTTATTTTTAAATCCGATCTTTTCACAGTATTTATTAGTTTTGTTGAAGAAAGCATCACATATGTTTTTATAAGTTCAATTTACGCAAAGCATGCTTGTGAATCAAAGGATTTTTCATCAAATATTTTTTTTGAAGGTGGCATGGTGTACATTGAAGAACATTCCGCGTATATGTCTAGAAATATTGTATTATTATTATAGATCAACTTCAGGTTCCTTGTTGTAAAAACAGCAAAGTATTGCAAACGTAATATGTACTTAAACCTTCATATTTATTTTGATACGAGTCTTTTTATTAATGCAGTAGACATTTTTAATTTTATACCCTTCACAACTTTGTTGGTCTTTTGTACTGATACGACGTTCTATCATGATTTTTCAGAACTTGCCTTCATTTAGACCAAGGTCATTTTTATGTAATATAATTAGGAATCCATCGATAATCAAAAATCTAGTTTTCAGCTGTGGTCTGTGCAATATTTCTTCAGAGCATTCCTGTTATTGTTGAAGTTACACATTTTGGGGTAGTAGTCATGTAGGTATTTCATATCTGTGAATGACATAGATGTTTTGATCACTATCTTTGAGATTAACAATATATAAGATTCAATTAAGCCAAACTGACCTACTGTTTATTCTGTATATCTTTAATATTTCCTATGATATTCGGCTTCTAATGTCCAAATCGGACATGAGGTCACATATATACAAAATATGTTATCACAATGTTATACACTGAAAACCAAATACCACTGATGTCATAATGTGTACGAGAGAGAAGCGTGCAATACGTGTGTTAGAAAGAGATAGAAGCGCCTTGTTGCGTCTCAACCTATCGGCCCACTCTTTCTAACACACATTGGACACTTCTCTCTCGACGTCAGAAAAATTGAACCTCGCGGTATAATTAGAGTGTTGTCATATCATCACATTGGCCCGGTGCTTGTATAAATGTGGCAAAAGCTCACGCTGTGTACTTATCTTGGTAACATATTATATACAACACTCAATAATCTACAATCTGAGAGTTTGTTGAGAGATGTATATACATAGTATTCAGCTTCTCCAAACTCTCACACATTTCTTTACATATTTTTGACCTGGTTGTACTATATCTGTGTTATAATTTTCTTTAAGGTAATATAAATGTAAGATGTATGTATAACTAACATCAATTTAACGACGTATTGTATTCCTTTTGTATATATAATAAAGTTATATTTCCTTCTAGATTTTTGCTTAATTTATTTACCATTTACAAAAAAATCCTGTTTACTGTCCTACATTATCTCGAAAAAGATTATAAATGCCCCTCGTATAGCAGCCAATGATCATCAGCTACAAAACCAATATGGCCGCCGATTTTGACAGAACCCTCTTACGTGTTACATTGTATCACTCATTCTATTCCGTTTTTCGTCTGTGTTTTTGCTGTTCCATGATCTAATGACGGTTTTGTTTTTTGACATTTGGCAGTAGTGTTGCTTGGACCAGTAATGGACGTTGTGAAATTTGGTCTTTGTGTTTGTTTTTTGCTGAATATCGGACATTTTCACTAAATCCTTGCGTTTTCCTCTAGGTAAGTTATACTAATATCATCCATAATTATGCTCAGTCCACTTTCATCGCTCTATTCGTTTTATATCACTCTCCTTGAACACCTAGCATTACTCAACACCGTAGTTAAATAGCAGTCTATAGATTCATAATTTCAGGTTTGTACATTCAGAAAAATGCATAATTTCATGAACAAAGTTGCTCAGTTGTAATTTCTCGCTTTTAATGATTATGTATTTAACTAGCTCCCATTTTATAATCCGTCATTTTTTTATGGAGTAAAAGGTCAACATTTATATCCTACCATTCGTAATATTAAAATTGAAAATTGGACAGTTGTGGAACTTGTATTTTTTCTAGAATTTATTTTTGGGGAATTTTGGAGTTACAAAAAGTGTCTGGTGTCTATTGTGTTGTGTTTTTGGTTTTATAAAATGTAGATTTGATACTAATTGAAAATTTGATTACACACCCTGTTACATGTTGTAGGATTTGTGATCTGTAATTTAGACAAAACTAGTTTGCTGGCCAAATCAGGTGTACAAATTCTCAATCTATCATCAATTTGACTTTTAAGATTTATGAGTGATTTTAAATCACACATTTATTATCTCAAATTCGGCCTCACAACACTTCAATAGTTTTTTGATGGTCATATTCAAAATTAGGACCCCAAATAACTGAAGTATAACATATTCCATTAATTTCTAACAACAGGGAACAAATGTCAACATTTTATCCAGAAAGCTTGTATTTTGATGTTTGCATTAGAAAATTGTTGAAAACTGATGCATGTTTGTTATCTTTACATACATCCATTTCCTTGGTAAATCAAATTTGGCTACCTGATATTTCAATATTGTTTAATGGGCAAACTCATATAAAGTCCTAAGAGAACATTATCAAAAACCTTTTTGTATTGGAGATTTTATTCAAAATGACCTAATTTCTATTCTATTTTGACATTTCCAATGACAATTTTTAAAAATCCTTATTTTTTACGGTGTCTGATGTTCATTTTGATTACATTGCTTAATGTTAGTTATACATATATGTATGTTTAGAAGTTGATCACTAAATAATAGTAACAAAGTACTTTATCAACATTCAGTGATCAACAATGGTCCACACTCGACGTATGGAATTGAATGACTCTAGTCAGGGGCCCAGGCATCGTACCAGGGTATGTTATATACTTTTAGGTAGCGCTGAAGTCACGCAAGCATGTATTTCCATAGCTTGAAGAGTTATATCATAAATAAATTGCTTTCATAAGATTCATTCTGTTTCAACAATGAATTATATCAGAACAGTATTTTTGCATAACAGTTTATTCAGCACCAAATTTTGTGTACTGGTAGATTAGAGCAGTTCGGATATAGTTCCCAGTAGAAACATGAATGACGCTATTATTTCTATCAGTGCTTTGAATAGAATAGAATAGACTGTTAATTTAGAGGTATTTTACAATAAACCTTTGATGATTATTTGCTTCAAGTGTTGGCTGTTGATATGAGGTTCATAAGTGCATAGCATACTTATTTGCCCAGAAAGTCGCTAGAGAAGATTCAAAAAGTGGTGTCAAGTAGATTGACTCTATACAGGGTGAATTCGAAGTTGAGTCATTTATTTTAACAGTGAGTAGATCTGATCAAAAGAAATGTTTTTTTCCTTTACCATTTTTCTGGTAAAATTAAAGTAACAAAGTTATAACCCTTTGGAAGTTTGAGTACCGCCCTGTCTCAATAATAATATCATGTGCTCGTGTTTGGCAACAACGGATATAGTCCACCTTATCGGTTCATCGCATCGGAAACAAAAAAGCGAAAGAATTTGGAACGATGTTTTTACAATTAGTTTATTCAGTTCAGTTATACATACAGTCAGTGTCAGTCGCGTGTGAACAGTGTCTGTTGCGTGGCTCAAACGAAATAAAAAATGGCACATGTTTATGCAGATCGGTTTCCCAATCGAGTGCAACCAACCCCTCGTGCCTTTGTTAATGTAGTACAAAGGGCTCGTGAATCAGGTGACGGCATGCCGGTGCTCCAAGACCTCACGATCAAATACAGGTCCGCACTGAAATACTTGTCGGGAGGATACTTTATAAAACAAGGTAAACATTTTTTTTAATTTTTTTTTTATTTTTACACACATGTTTTGGTTTATCTTCCTTCTACAATCATTATCTGAAAATTAATGACTCAACTTCAAAGTCACCCTGTATAGTAAAATCTCATTTCAACCGGACATACTGAAAGTGTCACTTCAAAAGGGGTGTTATGAAAGAAATACAAAAAAAATCGTGTTTTTAATGAAAACTGAATATATTAATGAAACTGGGACATCTAAAACGTGTGGGTTTATAAATGTTATTAAAATAAACAAAACTTTCAACCCAAAAAGAAGGTTTATTACCTTTAGATATATACAAAGTATGTACATATGTATAATGTATGTAGTAACACAAAACAGTGAAGTAAAAAGTCACTTTAAGGACATAAACATTCATATATTGTCATTTGCCTACTCTTTTTCTTTAAAATGGCGTCTTGAAATCGTATTTTTACTTTAGAAAAAAGCTTCAAAGATTCTGTATCTCCCTGATTTTTACAAAACTTTCGAGCTGGTTGGCCATGGTAATAGCTTTACCATAATTTGGAATAGCTTCTGTTAGTACTAGATACCTCACTGAGATCAGAATCTTTGGAAAGTTCTTGTAGTGCAACTGGATTTTCAATTTCTTGGCCTGAATCTGGATCTTCAACATACACACTTTCATCTAGGTTCAAAAAATCATAAAGGTTTTCATTATCAGTCAGTTTCAATAATTTCTTATTTTTGAGGATATTTGAAAGTATATTAAGTGGTAAGTCATCTTCTGTATCAGTATTAGCCTTATTTAACCAGTCTCAGTTTGCATATTTTAGTCCTTAAATCCTGCTTTGCAGAATGACTTTTGCACTGTTTCATTGGTTACTTGGTGTCCAAGCAGTTCTTGCCAAATAAATTGCATCCAGTGGGGTTATTTTCTTGATTAACTCCTGTACCAGCTGTTTCAATGTTTACTAGCAGGTGTTTGAGTATTAGACTTCAGTAATAAGTTTTAAAACTCTGTATAATTCTTTGGTCAAGTGGTTGATAAGGTGATGTACATTTAGGGGGCAAAAATTAATGTCTTTTGGAAATGTTTCTGTTTCGTTATCCGTTTTCGGTACTTCCCAGGTTATAGGTGGTTATAAAATTAGCTGACAGACATACCGACAGAAATCTCATCTTCGAAAATTTTCGCTATTAAAATACAAAACACTACAATACAAAAACTGTTGTAGTTGATGCTTCCTTTATTCGATAATAAATGAGCCTGATACAGGTGATTTTTATTTTATGATTTAGAACAAAGTACCTCTAAATGCGTCACTGATAACAGTACATACTTAGGATGGTGCAGGTGCATAGTCACATAATCATTCATTGGTTTTTACAGTTTCTGAGTTACCTATAAAACTATTTTTTTCCATATGTACAGTTGTTTTTTTTGCATGTCTTATTTTTTGTTTTTGTGTGTTTGCAACATGATTATCAATCAAGAAAGAAATGATGTTGACTTTATCAATGCTTAATTTAGGGTAGTTTGAGATTGCTGAAGCCCGTGGTAGCTGAGGACAGCGGTTCTACTAGTGTCGACGACAGTGAGAGCGAAGATTCTGCGGATAAGGATTCCTCATCGAATCCGGCTATCAAGGCAGAGGAATCGATGAAAAAATTGCCGAGTCGCTCCACTCAGTTGAAGAGCAATTTTAGATTCAGTGGGAGAAAATTCAACGGTAATAGTAACATGACATATTTTTCATAAATCACGGCATTTCGTGGATCTCATGTGGATTTTCCGTCCTCCAAATGCGGCAGTTTTGCTTATTAACGCCGCCAGAGAGCGTGAAATGCGCCTCGTCGGTCATCACAATTTGCTTCCAAAAATCCGGTTCAGCATCATCCATGCGAGCGACTGTTTGGGCGTATTCCAAGCGACGTGGACGGTCAGTTGGCAATATTTTTTATGTTAACTATACCTTATAAGGAAACAAATGCGAATCATCTTTCAAAATGCGCCGCAACGTAGTTCCAATGGTGCCAAAATGCTGAGCGCGGTGACGATACGACACTTTTGGGTTCTGGGCAACACTGTCTCTGACCGCTTCAACCAGTTCATTGGAACGTCTTGGTTGTTGATGAACAGTATGTTGACGATCTTTCGGTTCATGTCTAAAATTGTAGTAAATTGACGTTTCAGAAACAAGTATAACCAAATCACTCGGTTGGTAAATATCAAAGTCATTCGATGTTTCAATACCGACTTAGAAGATGGCGCACCCGGTACTTATTAAAAAACGACATGTAATAAAATGGACGCTCGTCTTCTAGGTAAACCGGGGTAAATTCCAAAATCGATGTCAGTTTTGTGATAGGATTTACGGGTGTTCCCTGGTGATCGGTTTTTAAGAAATTTTTTAGCCGTAATTCGGCACCATGCCCCTTTACCGTATTTTCCACGACGATATTCAAATTTAGCGTCCAAAATTTCCTCAATGTACATAACATCGTTCGCATATAGCAACCGATAAAGAAAATTGATTTTTAGCAAATGTCGCATTGTTTTGTAATTTTTCACTATACCGCAAAGTTGGGGTTTTCCTTTAGACGAAGTGTAGATCTTGAAAACATAAGCATTTTTTCTTAGTACCATATACACCAATGTCTTAAGGGAACCGAGATAAAGGGCTATGCAACATCAAAAATATCTGAATACCGTCCTGTAGCTGTGACTCGCGATATCCCCGAGTGGTACTAGGACACTAGCTCAACCCGACGACAGAACTGGGTCGGGGTCAGTGTGTCAGGTCAGTATGCAATCTTCAACCGACGGTTACGGTCACGCCTGTAGAGGTAATCGCGTAGACGAGAATCCCTCAACAAGCACTAGAGACGTGGCTAGAGAAGTGCAAGTATCAAAAACTAAAGTGTGGCAAACGCTGTGTGAAGAGGGCTGTATCCGTTTCACGTCCAACGTGTACAAGCCCTTCAACCTGACGATTTTCCAGCAAGAGTGCGGTTTTGTGAGTGGTTTTTGCATCAACATGACAATAATCCGGACTTTTTGAAGTGTCAGTAGAAAATCCGCACGCTGTCCGTCGGGCACATTTTCAACAAACATTTTCGGTGAATGTTTGGGCTGGCATGGTGAACGGTATGCTCATTGGACGATTTATTCTCCCAAATCGATTGGACGGGATGCAATACCTAGACTTTTTACGCAACATTTTGCTTTCCTTGTTAGAAGATGTGCCATTAAGTGTAAGACAATCAATGTGGTTTCTGCACGATGGTCATATTTGTTACCTCTGTTCGTGGTCTGCACCACCACCGGCGTCTGTTCGGTAGCGCATCAGCTGATTTCATTTTCTGTTGGAGCGGTATGATTTCGGGCAGAGACGTACTTAGCCCTTCTCGTCAACTGGAGAGTGACTACTTTTTCCTTTATTTTTTTACTTGGTCGCCCTCGTTTCACTACACATTACCTTTGTTATTTCAAGGGTAGTTGTTTCTGAAAAGGAAAACCCAAACTTTGCGGACACCCTGTATAATATTAATGTACATGATAAAAGTGATCAGATACATGTGAAATGACTTCGGATTCGGCTTTAGCGACCCAAAATGTATAACATGGGGGTCATTTGAATAGCATTTAAAGCATTTCAATTTTGACTAACCACGTTACAAAAAAGGCAAAAAATAGGTCAGTCGGGAACGTGAGCCCAACCACTCTTATAATACGTTTTTTTGGGTCGCTGAGAGCCTGAAAATGCTTCGTTTTCGAAATATCGACAAGAAAGCCGTCTAATAAAAAATCTTCAAAAATCGTTGTGCTTCTATAATCTGAGTGAGTAGCATTTAAAGCATTTCAATTTTGACTAACCACGTTACAAAAAAGGGAAAAATGGGTCAGTCGGGAACGTGAGCCCAACCACTCTCATAATACGTTTTTTTTTGAGTCGCTGAGAGCCTGAAAATGATTCGTTTTCAAAATACCGGCAAGAAAGCCGTCTAATAAAAAATCTTCAAAAATCGTTGTGCTTCTGTGATCTTAATGGAAGCTTGTTTTTAGGTAAACTGGTGACGTAGATTCTGAATTCGATGTCAATTTAGTACTATACTATAACTATCTAAAACTGTAATGACTCATCGATGTTCACGTGAACATTACTTAACTACCAGTAGTCGGCTGTTCATAGGCGGGGTATGAATATTTAACATGGGTGAACTAGATTTGTCACATGCTTAATAAAGAGTGGTTTGAAACATATTGTAAGTCAAAAATTTGGGAATTACCTTTATTCATCGTCGCTTCCACTTACATCTGACAGTAATAAACTGTCGCTATCGCTTTCCTCGTTGAAATTGACTATAACTGGCTCTATGATGGTGTCGATGTGGTGGTCAAGCTGCCACATTTTTGTTTCTTCCTTCACAACATGACGGATAGCATTCTGCCAAGCTTCGGGCGTTACTAGCTGTATGGAAGTCTCAAGTAACACCTTAACGTCTGGTAATTTGAAGGTTGTGTTATGGCGCGCAATATAACCCTTCACTTGAGCCCAGATGAGCTCTATTGGGTTCAGTTCACAGTGGTAGGGAGGTAACCGCAGCACAGTGACACCATATTGACGGGCCATCTCATCAGTCACGTAACTAATGTTCGCAGGTTTGTACTGTTTAATTTTTTCATACAATTCCGCTTTCACACATGAATCGTCAAACGGGATTCCTTTTTCGCGCAACCATTGCTGCATGTCACTTTTTCGAGATCCCATAGTCGGTACACGTTCGGCTCGACGACTATGGTAGGAAGCATTATCCATGACGATCACAGAGTTGGGCTCAACTCGCTGAAGCACCCCTTGAAACCAGCTCTCGAAGCAGCTGGCATTCAATTCGTCATGGTAATCACCTCCTTTCTTAGAGACGAAAATCAAGTCACACTCTTCTAAAAAGCCACTATCGCTACCAATATGAGTTACGATCAATCTTTGACCTTTCCCTGACGGTCCACGAAGACCTGTTGACAAACCTTCAATGCTTGCTTGTCGGTTACTCACTACGTTTTTGTCTATCCAGGTTTTTTTAACTGTGTGACCTGCATTTACCCATGTCTCGTCCAAATAATAGATTTTTCTGCTTTGTCGCCTATATTCAATCATTTCGCGTAGGTATTTTCGACGCCAGGCGACTATTTCAGGTCTCTATCAATACTGACTTCCGATTACGCGTTTCGTAACGAAAATTAATTTCGTGCAGGGATTTCCTCATTACCTCGATGCTCATTTGGGGTATAATTTCATTTTCCTTGATCGCTGCATGTACAGCCTTGAGGGTTGGTATCTCATTCCTAAAAAAAGAATGAATGTACGGTTCGCCTTAACGCCATTTTGCTATCGTCATCCAATTTAACGGCATTTCGTCCCTTCAAATTAAACTTTGGATCAGTAGTAGCTTCAGTTTTCTTCTTTTCATGCACCACCCTGCGAATGGTCCACTCTGGAACGCCTGTCATACTTTCACAACGCGCGAGTGCATCTCCCTGCGACATAGTTCTGTTCAGATAATTGAACACGTTGAGCACGATTTCTTTCGCGTCCCTCTTCAGCGCTTTACGAAGCCGTCTACTTATTCCCTGGCTTTCAGTACTTCCACTCGTGCCATTTTTACTCTCCATGGTTAAGTATAACTAAAACAGTAACCACAGAAACCACAACAATAACAATCACACAACAATTCTTATAAAAATACACAATATGCGATCGCTCAACGAAACACGTTCCAATGCGTTGCCGACGCCTATGAGTCTGCCGATCGAGGCGCGTCTTTGATTTCATTGGTTCTACAGGTGGAGAATAATCAGCCATTATTTCCATCTCTGTCTGTGCTGTTGACCACCGCAAAGCCACAGAAACGACATATGTCGTACGCTATACGGTTGTACTGGAAGGAAGCCGGGATCGAGCTCTGATCACGTGTTGATCACGCGTATGAGTCATTACAGTTTTAAATAGTTGTAGTATAGGATTCACGGGTGCCCCTGGTGACCGTTTTTTACCAATTTTTCACCCCTAATTCGGCACCACGTTTTGTAGCTAATCCGTATAATTTTTCTCTATTATGAAAGATATTTTACGACTATATCATTAGATCCATCAGGAAAATTGGGCGCTAGATGACTTTGTATGACATTTTTTAATAGGGATTTGTGGCATTATTATTTGTTTTCTAGACGCAACCGAGATATTGCCATTTTATTCTCGGACATGCCGTAGACCTAGGAATTCACTACATGTGTAGAAAAAAATAATGAGAGGAATCATTTACTGGTTTTAGATCGTCCATTGAGAAGTAAGAGAAAACGTCTGTCATTGGAGAGTAGGAGACCTCTGGTTTACACAATGCAAGACGATTCTGCTGATGATACGGAAGAGGAAATATATACTGTCAGGTAATACACGATTTCGGTAGTAATAATTTCGTTCGAGGTTTCAGGTTTCGGGATTTGTAGTAATAATTTTGCGTTCGCGGTTCTTCTCGAATCAGCTCAGAATTGATGCTGGATTGGCTTTAGCAGCTTCCGGATGTTTGGTGGGATTATGGCGAATACTTTTGTCATAAATGTCAAACGTCCTCCATTCGACGTCAAAACTACTTTGGAAATTCATCCTGATTACTTTTCAAGTTACGAATATTTTGTGGTTTTGCGGATTGAATCGAATTCAGCTTTTTACAGATTTCTAATAAATCGTTTTTTTTAGAAGTAGGAGGAGCAGACATTTGATCAGAATGAACAGAATTCAGAGGAGGACTGCATTGTCTCTCAGGCCCATCAGACAGAAATGCTATGCAGATCCTCGTTCTCCATCGCATTACAACTCAGACAGTGAAGGTACAACTTTATTTTTTAATTTTTATTTGATTGCATGTGTGTACATTTACACCTAAGCAACGCGTAAATACTAGGGCACTTTGGCTGCTACGAGGAGCTTCTTCCACAATCTCGATACCCTAGGGACAGAGGAGCGGTCGTATCGACAAGTTCTGGATTTAAGACCGTATTAATTCATGAACAGATTCCGAATTCGACGTCAAGGCAACGCGAAGTCCAAGTTCTATATGTCATTAGTAATAGTTGATATAATAAATCGCGCGATTAAATATCATCGTTAATTTCTCTACATTGTTCATTGTTATCGTTGTTATCTAGCATTGTTAAAAGAAATGCATGTGTGATATCGTAAGCTCGTCCGTTATGACTATTACATATTGTTGGTGGACACAAAAAAATCATAGTGCCAAAACGCTGTGTTTGTTTTCAAAGGTGGAGTCCGTAGAAGCAAGAGAAAAGGCAACCTGAATAACATGTCATGGCTGGCAGACAGCCAAATGCCGAAGGTCGGTTATCCGACGTTGAATACTGGATATTCGGAAGAAGACAGCAGAGATGCTGCGGAAGGGCAACATCTAGAGATATCCAGAAGGGTTACCAGGCGTACCAACGATTTAGGGATGACGAAAACTAAGTACCTGTATGAATATGATAACGAAGAGGTAAGGTTTCAGTAATAATAATACTTTTCGTCATTTGTTTGTCTGGGCGGTCCGTAGGACCTTTGCCCATTAGTCACTGTCTAATGTATGGGGTTGTCCAAAATGTAAAGTAAAGTAAACGCATATTAAAACAAGAAAGATTGATATTCAAATCAAGATGGGTACTTTATCTTGAAGGTTCATTTATACCATTTATGTATGAAAAATAATATCGCTCAAATGTTCACCACGACTGGATTTACAGACGTCCACGCGATGGTCGAAATTTTCAATGACATTTTGCAACATGGTCGGTTCTATGGCATTTATCTCGGCAATGATGTTGTTTTTGAGTTCTTGGAGGGTGGCTGGTTTGTTGACGTAGACTTTGCTTTTCAAATATCCTCATAAAAAGAAGTCCAAGGGAGTCAAATCGCACGATCTTGGTGGCCATGGCACATTTCCTCTGCGCGAAATCACGCGATCACCGAAGGACTGCAATCGATGGATATTGACGTTGGTTGTGTGGCATGTTGCACCGTCTTGTTGGAAATAAACATCGTCCATATCCATTCCTTCAAGTTGCGGCAAAAAATCGTCCTCTATCATCACGTGATATCGCTCAGAATTGACGGTAACGGCGTCCCCGGCCGCATTTTCGAAAAAGTAAGGTCCGATGATGCCTTTTGACCACAATGCACACCACACAGTCACTTTTTGAGGATGCATCGGCTGCTCTTGATACTCATGGGGATTTTCGTTCAACCAGATGCGGCAGTTTTGCTTGTTTACCGTCCCATTCAAAGTGAAATGCGCTTCGTCGCTGAACATGATTTTTGATGAAAAATTGGCATCAATTTGGCGGTGTTCAAGGAGCCAATCTGAGAACGTTCGGCGCGAAAAATGGTCGGCCCGACGCAGCTCTTGCGTCAATTGGATCTTGTAGGCGTGCACATTCAAATCCTTGTGGAGAATGCCGAGCAAACCGGTTCTCGAAATGCCCAATTCTTGGGATCGACGCGTTGTTGATTGTTTCGGATCGTCTCTCACACTCTCCTTCACAACAGCAATATTTTCCGGTGTGCGAACGCTGCTTGGCCGGCCAGAGCCTGGCAGATTTGCCACAGAACCTGTTGCCTCGAATTTACGCACCAGACGACCGATGGTTGTTTCGTTTGGGCGGTTGTTTCGACCGAAATGTTCACGAAGCGCGCGAAACGTGTTTTTTATTTTTGCACCATTTTTGTAGTGCTCTTGAATAACTTTAATGCGGTCTTCAATCGAATACGACTCCATAGCGATCAATGGTAAACATTCAACTAACAATATGACATGTCGGTGACAGAAAACAAAGATGGCGTCTATGTCAAATTGACGTTTACTTTCCTACGTCCCTATTGGACAACCCATTACGTTAGTCGAATCTCTCAGTACTGGTTGCTCAGAAACCAGACAGTGTCAAGGAAAAAGAGAAAGGGAAACTAAACAAATTTCGATTCGATTTTGTTAGAGTGTAATTTTAAGTTTACTAAAAGTTTGCGATAATTTTTGATTACAGTGCGAGCCGTGGCCTTGAATGTTTACGTACTTGCTCCACGGTGTAGTCCACCGAGTCGCGCAACAGAGGGTTGCTGTGCGATTCGCTTGACTATAACGTCGCTGCGCCTGAAGTTTGAGACATACCATGGTGCGTTGCAAATTGTTCGCAAAGTTCTACTTTGCAGTACTTGAAGACTTTGCATATGTGTCTTGGCAAGAAAACACCAAGCCGCACATGCATAAGTAGTGGCTGGTCTAATAAGCATTTTATATAGGCGAACTTTGTTTGTCAAACTCAATTTGGAGGATCTACATAACAAAGGATACAGTTGCCGAACCGCAATTTGGAATTTTGTTTTCAAGGCTGCTGTATGTTTCTGCCAGGTCATGCCTTTATCAAGGGTGACACCGAGGTACTTGGCAGAATTTGTCCATGGTACACGATTGCCGTCTACAGATACCTCTACTGGGGGGTCCGCGACGTTTTTTGGTACAATAAATAGCCTGCGTTTTCGAATGATTAATTTTAATCAGCCACCGTTCCGCAAACTCTAGTACTTCTTCCACCGCACTCTGCAACCCATCGTTAACCAGATCACCAGTACATGACTGGGAGACAAGTGCAGTGTCGTCAGCATAGAGGTAGACTTCACAGTTGCTGGAGCAAGGGACATCATGGATAAAAATCGAATAAAGGATTGGTCCTAGGACCGAACCCTGAGGAACACCGGCCCGTACTGGCCGTGTTGTTGACAAAACATTGTTAATTTTGGTCCGAAACTTCCTTCCTTCACGAAAGGATTTCAGTAATTTTAGAAGCTAAAAAGGAAAACGCTTTTGGATTAGTTTATAAACGAGGCCCGCGTGCCACACCTGGTCGAAGGGTTTTGAGACATCCAAAACCAAGATGCTGAGGGTGAACCCTCTGGTTACATGTTCCACCAGCCTCACTGCTATGCTCGGACCGAAAACCGAATTGAACGTCAGGAATCACATGGTGATTTGACAAAAAGTTCTCAAGGTGATGATCAATCACCTTTTCGGCGAGCTTAGAAGGAGCTGACAGCAGACTTATGCGACGGCAATCCTGAGGAAATATCGAACCCACCTTCTTTGGAATCATGACGACCTCAGCAGTCTTCCACCCAGTAGGGAAGTACTGGATTCTGAGCGTCGCATTGATTATTGTCACCAAATATGTCAGGGCTTTCGGCGAGAGCAGCTTCAACGCCTTGTTGGTGATTTACGCACCTTGAGGTCTCGGAGAGTTCCGCTAATGAGTTATGTGGAGCATCAGACGAATCTTCTGAAGAAGAGTCATCTGAAGAGGATTCGGTGCCTCCGCTAACGCCCTTGGCCCTAAAATATCCCCTGGCGGACCGTACGATGTGCTGTTCCTCGTCGAGGTCATTATCAAGATCATCGTTGGGAGAGAACTGTTTTTCCATCGCATCAGCGAAAACAAAACAATTTTTGTCTGCGTAAATTTGCGCTTAACATTGTCTTCCAATGCCTGCGCCCGTAATTTACGAAGAACTAAAATATTCGTGTATGAAACTTCTTTTCTTTCAGCCCAATCTAAAGCTTGGTTAAAAACTTGTATAGCTTGCGCGTCAGTCACTACACTTCTGACTTCAATGGGATCGTTCTCATCATCCTCACTGTCCATATCCTCCTCCTTATCAGCATCATTCGTCTGCTTATATTCGTTCCATAAATTAATATCAGCAGGAGTACAAACAATGTTGGGATTCACTGTTTTCAATAAATCAACAACATCCAATGACACACTAATAACATTATCATTATTGGATCGCAAACGTTCTCTAATTACGCTTAAGGGGACATCATCCTCATTATTGGTACAAAAGAAATTGTTCCAACATTTTTGAATAGTTTGCTGGTTAAGTTCATTCCAGGCCATATGTAAATCTAAAACAGCTTCTCGTAATGTTACGTTTTTAAAGCCTCAGATAAGTTTTCAGGATTCTTTGATAAGACAGACGAAAGTAGAAACTTCCTATAGTATAGTTTGGTGAGTCTTATTATATTCTGGCCCATCGGTTGAATTAACGGTGTTACATTGGGCGGCATGTACATGACGAAAATTGACCCATCCCTGCTCTTCAGTTGTTGCTCGGGAGGATGACTTGGTGCATTATCCAATAGTAACAACGCTTTTATTGGAAGCTTCTGTTGTTTTAGGAAACCTTTTACCTACAAATTGAAAACACATCTTCAAATTATGAATAGAGCATTTGTGATAATTGATTGTCATACCTGAGGGACAAAGCACCTGTGGAACCATTTCAGGAATATACTGCTAGTCATCCAAGCGGTTTTTGAACAGTCATAATCAACAGGGATATTAACATTTTTAAATGAGCGCGGATTTTTTGCTTTCCCAATTACCAGTGGCTTTATTTTGTGTGAACCATTAGAATTAGTGCAGGCTAGAAACGTTATTCGTTGTTTCTCCGGCTTTCTTCCCGGGGCAGATTTTTCAAATGATGCAGCATAGGTTTTCTCTGGTAACATTTTCCAATAAAGGCCACTTTCATCTGCGTTGTAAATTTGTTCCATTATTAAATCTAGCTCGGTAATTGTTTTCATCAATTTTCTAAATCATCGAGGCTTCAGCATTTTACCGTCGCGCTGATTCCGTGCGCCGAGAGTTGTTTACGTTATCGAGCGTACACATTGTTTACGTTATCGCGCGTTCCGTTTGATCCTATAAAACGAAGTTTGTGTTTACATTAGCGCAAGTTTTCATTATCCCGTGTTTACGTTATCGAGCGTCTGCTGTATCTTGTTTTTTTGTAAGATGAAAATTTTGCTAGATGCTACCGGGTTCTTCCCAGTTATGGTTTATACTTGTTTAATTCGTCACTACTGTTTTTGATGACTTTTTCATTTGTTATAGAATTGTCTGTTCTATTCAACAATTACATAAATTATTATTATTTTTGGTTTACATCTCGCAAATCATAGTTTGGTTTTGAATTTTTTTGTTTTCGAAGGAGCCATCCAGAAGCAGAAGAAAGCGCCCGGTGGCTTTCAATACAAAAAAGGAGGTTAGACACGAATCTAACGACAAGGAAAATAATAAAGATGTTTCGTCCGTAAACAGCCGAAGTTACGGGAGAATTTTGAGGAGTATAAAAGATGAGCCACACGAGGAAAATGCAGTGGAAGACCATGAAAGTGAAGCGGAGGTTAAAGAAAATGGGCAGCACGAGGAAAATCACGAGCAAAAGGAAGATGAACAAAAAGGTAATAAATAAATACTGATACATAAAACTATTTTGTAAGGTCGCACTCCTATTTTGTGACTCTCCTCGTACATGGAGCCGTACAATACAGGGTAATCCAAAAATAAGATATTGCGTTTAACTTTAGATTTTCAAATGTAAACCCTCTTTCTTTTTTTTCTTTTTTAGATTCTCCTTTTAGTAACTTTTGTAAAACAAAGTTTATACCTGCCCCTAAAAAAGTAATCTAAAGGACTTGGGTCCGGTGATCTCGGCGGCTACTCGATGAGAGTCACAAATGGCGGTGCGACCTTTTCGATGGGCCACCCTGTATTTATCTCTAAATTGTCGAGCATCGTATTTTTTTAGAAGTCGATGATGATGAGAAAGAAAAGTCGAAACCTGAAGAGAAAAACGGGAATACTTCGGACAGCGATGATGCCGTCCCTCTAGCAAGAACTACCAGAAATCGTGCCAGAGGGATAATTTCTACGAATAACTACTCGACCAGAAATAATTATGGAAGCAGAAATACCTATTCTACCAGGAATAATTTGCTGCACAATTATTCTACCAGGAACAATTATAAAAGGATCGAGAAAACCGGTAAGGGTTTATTGAAATGAACGGTTTAGCATGATTTTGAAAAATCTCGTTTTGCTTTTTAGATTCCAGCTCTGAAAGTGAAGAAGATAACAGGAAGTATTCTCTGAGAGAACGTAGACCAAAACCGGCTCCAACAGCAAGTGAGTTTTTACGATAGCATGAATTGAATATTTTTATTTTTCAAATGGAATTCTACGTTTTTTGGATGTTACATGATATGCATATATTGTTTTTCCGCTAGTTTTTGGTGCGGTTTTGACATACAAAGGGTGTAAATTAAGTAATGAGACTGAGGACTTTAAGATTCGATAGAACTTTTAAAATCAATGCATAAAGTCTATATAAACATGGGTCGAAAAATGCGCGGCTTCCGAAATACGGGGTGTTTAAATTTACTTTCTAAAATAGTTTTTTTTATATATTTCGAACAATATTTGATGTATAACAGTGAAAATTGGTATACAAGGGTTTTTTGGTACGACAAAACGAACCATGGGCATAGTTTTACTGTAGCCGCTAGAGGGCGCTCTCTACTGTACCTGTAGTGTATTAAAATGACCGATTTTTTTTTCTTAGTGCAATTTTTTGCTTTTTGAATAAAAAAACTGATTCTTCGCACTTTTCAACATAAAAAGCTCTCCTGTGAGTTTTCGTTATAGTTAGCCGTTTTTGAGATATTTCGATTTTTAAGGTTCGATGCATTTTTAATTATTTATGGGAAAATAATATTTTTTTTACATCTTCGATTTGGGCATTACAAGTAATTAAGATGATCGTTTAGATTGAGTTTTTAAACACAGCAATAATTCCTAACTCCAAATAAACACAAAAAACAGAATATTAATTTGTTTAATTTTCCAATATTATTTTTAACAAATTAAATTAATTATTTACAACTCAAATGCTATTGGATAGTTAGGACAAACATACAGTTGCTCGAATGTAAACCCAATTGTTCAATACACAATTCAAATCTAGGAATGATCTAACGTGGTATAGCATTATTCAAATAAGGCCGTATTTCATCACATGCATTCCTGATTCTGTCTATTAGCATATCTCTTGTGGTTACGGCAGTCTGGTACACTTTTTCTCCCCACACAAAGAAATCTAATGGACTTAGGTCAGGGGATCGTGGAGGCCAGGCGACTGGTCCTCCACGGCCGATCCATCTTTCTGGATAATTTTCGTCCAGCCAGTTTCTAACTATTCTCGAATAATGAGCTGGACAACCATCAAGCTGGAACCAGGCCAATCTTCTTAAATCTAACATAACATTACCCCACATATTTGCATGTTCAGCCTTTAAACATTCCAAGAAGGTCGCAACATTTAACCTTGCAGGCAAAAGGTAGGGTCCAAATAGTCGATTACGGTAGATACCAATCCACACGTTCACACGAAATTCATGCTGAAAATTTCTTTCCCGAACTGCATGCGGATTTTCATGCGACCAAATATGTTGATTATGAAACTTTACCACTCCACGTCTAGTGAAGCATGACTCATCGGTCCATAAAACGTTACTTAAAAACTCCCTATTATTATCAGTTCTATCAAGAATCCACTGACAAAATGTGATTCTTCGTTCTCCGTCTCCTGGCTGTAGTCGTTGCACAGGTTGCAAATGGCAAGGACGTCTATGGTCATTTCTAAGAACACGGTGAACATGGCTTGCTGAAATTCCCAAGGCACCAGAAACTCTCGTAACACTTGTGGTCGGATCTCTATCAAACTCACGCAAAATCGTACGGGTAAATGTGCGCTGACGAACATTTATGTTTTGATCCCTTTGGAGATTTCCAAAACCATTTTCAATTATTTGGCGATGCACTCTTACAAATACTGAGCGTGTTGGATGTCGTCTGTTTGGAAATCTTCATGCGTATTCTCTGGCTGCTTCTGCTGCGTTTCCATTTACGAAGCCATACACAAAATGAATATCCGCTAACTCTTGATTGGAGAATACAACTGGCATTTTTATAAAACTTACAAGGTAAAAGAAACTAAATTTCGTGCATTCACAATTGCAAAAAGACGTTTCAGGTTTCAACAGACAACAAAACTAACTGTCAACTAATTGACGTTCAACCTTATTCTGCTTTCAATTTCAAAAATATCTGCAGGCACAGCCTACTTCTAAAAATTATCGAGATACTGACTTTTTAACGTTATTTTATCATAAATAATTAAAAATGCATCGAACCTTAAAAATCGAAATATCTCGAAAACGGCTAACTATAACGAAAATTCACAAGAGAGCTTTTTTATGTTGAAAAGTGCGAAGAATCAGTTTTTTTATTCAAAAACACAAAAAATTGCACTAAGAAAAAATTTTCGGTCATTTTGATACGCTACAGGTACAGTAGAGAGCGCCCTCTAGCGGCTACAGTAAAACTATGCCCATGGTTCGTTTTGTCGTACCAAAAAAACCCTTATATACCAATTTTCACTGTTATACATCAAATATTGTCCGAAATATTTGAAAAAAACTATTTTAAAAAGTAAATTTAAACACCCTGTATTTCGGAAGCCACGCATTTTTCGACCCATGTTTATATAGACCTTATGCATTAATTTTAAAAGTTCTATCGAATCTTAAAGTTATGCAACAATAAACTGAAACACCCTGTATAATTTAGTCAAGTTTCTGTGTCAGTCTTGACGCACTTTTTTTTGAAACTGAGAAATTCGTAGCATAATGCGTGCGAAGTACAGAGCTATTTCTTATATTCCAGTGCAAACGTCCATTCTAAAAGAGTGCGGAATAAGAACAAGAAGACGTTTCACTAGGCGTTTACAATCATCTACTAGTTCAAGTGATTCTTCTTCAGATGTGCGGATAAGGTAAGCCAACATTTGTCATAATTGTTAATGACATATTAGACGAAATGATTGTAAAGTCTGGTTTCATTGATGCAAGTTGTTCAAGCGGGTATTTAAAACGTGGACGCATAAAATGGGTACATCAATATTTGTGGGAAAACTTTTTAATTGATGACAAAGAAAGAGAAAACGCGTTCTTTGGGATTCAATCGAAAGTGTTGGCAGGAACGAAAAAACTCTTCAGATTAGATTTTTAGGTATTCGCGTATAAATATCCCGCTAATAGTAAAAAAACGAACGTTGGAAGCATAGCAAATTTGTTATAAACAAAAAAACATAAAAATGGGTCAGAATGTGACAACCAATGACAGCTGAACACTTATTGACATTCAAAATGTTGGGCGAAAATCGTTCTCAACTGCTGTCGTTAACAATACATAATGGTGTGTTATACTAAGTGACATATAAATCCGAACACCCAGTTTAAATGGTTTTATTTTAATAAAATTTTGTATAAGTACTTAATGAAGCATAATGATAAAAATTTCAAAATGATTGCACTGCTTTAAAGCCCTTTGACCTTTAATAATGTGTGGATGCACCCTTATGTGCTACGCATTCTCCAACGCGCCTAGGCATGCTTCTGATCAGGTGGTCAATGTCCTCCTGTGGTATCTCATTCCAGGCAACCACCAACTCCTCTCGAAGTGCTTCTAGAGTCTGAGGAGGACGTTGCAAATTGAGCAATCTCCTACCCATCATACCCCACACGTGCTCAATTGGGGATAAGTCGGGAGATCTTGGTGGCCATGGTAACAATGTGACATCATTATGTTGAAAGAAGTCTATTGTGACTCTTGCAACATGTGGTCGGGCATTATCTTGTTGGAAAGTTGGATCTGCCAGGGTGTCAAGATAGGGTAAAAGATGGGGTTCTAGAACTTCGTGGATATAACGCTGCGCGTTCATGTTACCTCTGATGAAGATTAAAGGTGACCTGGAACCATAAGCTATAGCACCCCAAACCATAACTCCAACAGTGTGATGAACATGTCTTTCAACAAAAAACTGTGGATTCCTCCTTTCACCACGTCGCCTTCTAACCCTGGCACGACCATCGTGCATGCCTAAACAAAATCGAGACTCGTCACTGAAGACAATACTGTTCCATTCCTGATCCCAGAGTGACCGTTGTCTGCACCACTCAAGGCGATTACGTCGGTGTTCTCGAGTTAAAGGGAGCACCCAGTGTGGCCGGTATAAAAACAAGCCAAAACTTCTCATTCGTCGGTAAACACTTCGCATGCCAATAGGTCTTCCGTGTTCTGCAAACCATTCATTTGCAATGGACCTGGTAGTGGAGAAACGGTCCCTTAAGGCCAATAATCTTAGGCGGCGATCTTCACGGTCTGTTGTTCTACGGCGGCGTCCAGTGCTCCTTGCTCTTTGCGTACGGCCTTCTCGAAGCCATGCCAGACAACATCTAACCACAGTGTCTACACTTCTTTGCACTCTAACTGCAATTGCCCGAAAAGAAAGTCCAGCTTCCCGAAGTCCCACTATACGGCCCCTATCAAACTCACTAAGTTGACGAAATCGTACAGGTCTCCGTACTCTAGGCATCGTAACCGATCGTAAATGCTGTCAAGAACCAAAATCCGCCAACGTTGATTCTTTACTGCGGCTGAAATATTCATTTTTAGAGCGTTAGTGAATTAAAAAAAAAACAGTATAAAAACCGGAATGTCCAACTGATAAGGCTGAACATTTTTTCACTTGTTATTTACAGTAAGATAAATACATTCACCAACTTTCATTAAAATAAAACCATTTAAACTGGGTGTTCGGATTTATATGTATAAATAGACGTCGTTCAAGTATCGTTTTCTCATCTGACCCTAAATGACTTAGAAGATTTTTTCTAACCAAAAAATATTTTCCGATCGAGCAGGAACTAATAGCTTGTAATTTCGGCCACTTTTTCAGTAATAAGAATACCAAGGCGACCAAGAACGAAAAAAATGAAAACCGGTGCTGGTGGCAGCACCAATATTGAACCCATAAAACCCGAAACGCTCGATAAAAGCATAACGTTTAATACGATCGGAGGTCTGGACGATCATATCCAATGTCTGAAAGAGATGATCCTGTTGCCAATGATGTATCCAGAGGTATTCAGGCAGTTTCAGGTGCAACCGCCTCGAGGTGTTTTGTTCCATGGTCCGCCAGGTAAGTGAGAAACTTGATTGCATCTGTACGTTTAGTTTTTAAACAGGGCGATCTGGTTAGAATTTCACCGGCTATACTCAAATTTCAACACTAACCAAATTTCAGGTTTTCTTATTTGTGATTTTTCCAAAGTTTTTGACTGTGTGAATCATGATAGATAAATATGCTTTATTCTCCTAAGTAGGCGAACTGTAGAACTCGAACGTGGTACGTGGCTTGTCCGGAAAATACGTATAAAAGTGGAATAATAAGGGGTTGTCCAATAGGGACGCAGGAAAGTAAACGTCAATTTGACATAGACGCCATCTTTGTTTTCTGTCACCGACATGTCATTTTGTTAGTTGAATGTTTACCATTGATCGCTATGGAGTCGTATTCGATTGAAGACCGCATTAAAGTTATACAAGAGCACTACAAAAATGGTGCAAAAATAAAAAACACGTTTCGCGCGCTTCGTGAACATTTCGGTCTCAACAATCGCCCAAACGAAACAACCATCGGTCGTCTGGTGCGTAAATTCGAGGCAACAGGTTCTGTGGCAAATCTGCCAGGCTCCGGAAGATATTGCTGTTGTGAAGGAGAGTGTGAGAGACGATCCGGAACAATCAACAACGCGTCGATCCCAAGAATTGGGCATTTCGAGAACCAGTTTGCTCCGCATTCTCCACAAGGATTTGAATGTACACGCCTACAAGATCCAATTGACGCAAGAGCTGCGTCGGGCCGACCATTTTTCGCGCCGATCGTTCTCAGATTGGCTCCTTGAACACCGCCAAATTGTTGCCAATTTTTCATCAAAAATCATGTTCAGCGACGAAGCGCATTTCACTTTGAATGGGACGGTAAACAAGCAAAACTGCCGCATCTGGGCGAACGAAAATCCCCGTGAGTATCAAGAGCAGCCGATGCATCCTCAAAAAGTGACTGTGTGGTGTGCATTGTGGTCAAAAGGCATCATCGGACCTTACTTTTTCGAAAATGCGGCCGGGGACGCCGTTACCGTCAATTCTGAGCGATATCACGTGATGATAGAAGACTATTTTTTGCCGCAACTTGAAGGAATGGATATGGACGATGTTTATTTCCAACAAGACGGTGCAACATGCCACACAACCAACGTCAATATCCATCGGTTGCAGTCCTTCTTCGGTGATCGCGTGATTTCGCGCAGAGGAAATGTGCCATGGCCACCAAGATCGTGCGAAAAGTACCCAACTTGATTTGAATATCAATCTTTCCCCATATAAGTTTATATTACAATTGTTCAGGTATTTCAATATAGTCTCCTTGAAAGTACTCTCACTGAGACAAGATGCACTTCTGCCAACGCCGTTTCTACTCTTGATACGATCGCCGAAAGTCTTCATTTGCCGTGTCGTTTCTACCTTGGTGGCTTCCACATCCCCCAAGTGCCGCCCCCGAAGCACCGTTTTGCATTTTGGGAACAGGAAGAAGTCGCTAGGGGCTAAATCGGTTGAATAAGGCGGGTGTTGTGTCACGGTGATTGAGCTTCGGGCCAAAAACTCACGCACAACGAGAGACGTCTGACCAGGCGCGTTGTCGTGAAGGATCCACCTGTCCCCTTGTGCCAAATCGGGTAACACGAGCTCCGTGACGACGCAAAACTTCGATGTAGAAATTTCCATTCACTGTCTGGCCGCGAGGGACAAATTCCTGGTGAACAATGCTCCGAGAATCAAAGATTGTTTTCGCATTGGACCTTGATTTTTTCGACTTTCTTGTTCTCGGTTCCCCTGCTTGCTTCCTCTCCATGCTCTGAGATTTCAGCTCCACATTCGTAGAACCAAGACTCGTCTCCAGTGACGACCCGGTTGAGAAAGTCCCCCCTTTCCTCTGCTTCCAACCAATCCTCACAGCAGGCAACCCTCCTTGCTTTCTGTTCTGTAGTCTAGAGCTTCGATTTTCGCGCGCACAAGCTTTTCTGTCGGAATTTCGTGGACAGTTCATTGTATCATTCCAACTGTCAATCGACCGTCTTTAAGAACACAGCCCCGAATTCGTTCAATTTCTTTAATTTGTTTATTCTCTATAGTATCAGGGAGACACGTGTAAATTTTCAGACGACTATAAATTATTGAGTCCTTTACAAGTGTTGATTTAGGTACTACTAATTTTCGCCTTATATTTAATGTTTCAAATTTAGATTTTTAAAAATAAGAGTCGTTTCAAAAATGAACAATACAGCCTTGGGAACCCTATTTTTGAGACAACCCTCGTAATTCGAAGCCTTTTGGTGTAAGGTAGCAATATAGGAGGTATTGCTGATGGTATTTTCTCTTTTTCTCTTTTGAACAGGAACGGGGAAAACTTTGATAGCTAGAGCGCTAGCTAACGAGTGCAGCTTCGGGAAGAAGAAAATCTCGTTTTTCCTGAGAAAAGGCGCTGATCTGCTGAGCAAGTGGATAGGAGAGTCTGAGAAACAGCTGAGGTTGCTGTTTGAACAGGTACGTTATAATTATATTTATTGTAGATTGATTATAAGTTTTTTGTGTTGTTGATTAGGCGACGTCTTTTCACAGCGTATCATTGAATTATCTAAGAAAAAAAGTAAACAGTTTAAAATCAAATAACAACTGTGCCGAAATCACTTGCTGAAAAACTGTTTCGAAATTTTGGGATATCCTGTATTAAATTGGATCAATTGTTCACTGAGAAGCAGTTCTTTTCCTGAAAATTTGAAATGCTCTACAATAACACCAGTTCCCAAAATAAAAGATTCTAAAAGATGCAGCGATATGAGACCAGTAAATGTGTTACCAGACATTGAAAAATTATTAGAGTCCATAGTGCAGGACCAATTAATGCAGTTTATAGAAGAAAACAAAATTTTAGTGGAGGCGCAAGCAGGCTTTCGAAAAAAATATTCCACAGAAACAGCTTTCCAGTTGGTAACTGAGAATTGGAGAAGAGCCATAGACTCAGAAGAAGTTGTCATAGCAGTATTTTTGGATTTGAATAGGGCATTTGAAACGATTGATAGAGATATTTTGTTAGGTAAATTATATAAGTACAAAAGTTAATAGCACTATTTCATCAAAAATTGAAAATACGTTGGGTGTTCCACAGGGCAGTATCCTGGGACCACTTCTTTTTATTTTATACATAAATGATTTACCTGCCATAGTCAAAAAATGCAAAATTCAGATTTTCGCCGATGACACTATGATTTATATAAGTACTAAAAATATTCAGTCTGGTATCTCTTATATAAATGAAGACTTGAAGCTTGTCTCAAAATGGTTAGCATCTAACAGACTAAAATTAAATGCAAGTAAAATGAAAACCTTGTGAATCGGAAAAAAACAATGTACAAATGTTCAACTGAATATTGATGGTGAAGATATTGAATTCGTAGAAAATTTTAAATACCTGGGGGTTTTTGTTGACTCTCGATTAATTTTTGATATTCATTATGAAAAAGTTATAAATAAGATTAGTAGTAAAGTGGGATATTTATCGAGAGTTTCTGGATGTCTGAGTTCATATAGCAGAAAAATTATCTATAATACCATAATTCTTCCAAATTTCTTGTACTGTTCGACTATTCTATATTTAGCAAATAATTCCATTTTTGAAAGACTGCAAATTTTACAAAATAAGTGCATGAGAATAATACTAAATAAAGATAAATATACTCCAATTAGGCAAATGCTTAGCAAATTAAAATGGCTCAATGTAAAAAATTTTATCAAATATCTTGTAATGATATTCATTTATAAAGTAAAAAATAATATATTTCCATCAAGTCTAACTAATTTAACATCATCAAATGTCGACCATCATTTACATAATACCAGAAATAAAGATGGCTTCCATTTAATGACCAAAAAGTATGTAACATATGCTACAAATCTGTATTCCATCAAGGGTTGATTGAATATAAATTATACTCGGAGATAAAAGACCAGAAAACTTTGACAAAATTTAAAGTAAAATTGAGAAATCACTTGTTAAATCTACAATTATAGCTTGCCCAGCATTTACATCATACACCATATGGCTTGAATTTACTAGTTCTAAGTTGTTTGCAATTATTTTGTTTATGTAGCCAAATGTGCTAAATAAATCTTTCTACTACTACTTCTACATCTATACAAGATGGTCAAAAAATAAGAAGAAAAGTTTTTAGTAACTTTTGTATAAATCAGTTTATACCTACATATCTTGTAATAACAAGTGACGAGTTGTTCGTAAATTGGATGTTTTTTCTGTTAAAGGCCGCCGAAAAGAAACCGTCTATAATATTCTTCGACGAGCTGGACGGGCTGGCCCCAGTTCGGTCGTCTAGACAGGACCAGGTGCATGCAAGCATCGTTTCGACGTTGCTGGCACTGATGGACGGTCTCACTGACAGAGGGGACGTTGTGGTTATCGGCGCAACGAATAGGATCGATGCGATCGATCCCGCGCTTAGGAGACCGGGCAGGTTCGACAGGGAGCTGTTCTTCCCCTTGCCTTCCAGACAGGTGAGTCTAGGCTCTGAAGAAGACTATTTTGAATAAAATACATACAGTGATTTTCTTTAATGTCCCCATCCCCTTTGATTTAAAAAAATTAAAACTTGAGGTAAAATTGACAGATGAAATTGACAAGATGGCCGCTGGGCGCCCTTTTGGAAAAAAAAATTATATGAAAACGGGGGTCTTGTGGTACATCATGTTTAAGCTCCTGACGAGTACTTTATAACCCAAGAATATAGTCAATACCTGTACCTACTACAAAATGGTAGTACATTTATTAATTACTAGAGCACAAACCCACTAACAGTATGTCTCTACAAATAATTGTAATTCCCTGCCGTACCCACACCAACAGCGATAAAAAATTGTTTTGTTATTTTTTGTTGACAGTGACAAGAATATCAGTACGAAAACAAACATCATTGTACAGTTAAAATATTCTTATTTAGTTTTCGGTTTTAGTGTAAACACTTCGCATGCCAATAGGTCTTCCGTGTTCTGCAAACCATTCATTTGCAATGGTCCTTTAAGGCCAATAATCTTAGGCGGCGATCTTCACGGTCTGTTGTTCTACGGCGGCGTCCAGTGCCCCTTGCTCTTTGCGTACGGCCTTCTCGAACCCATGCCTGACAACACCTAACCACAGTGTCTACACCTCTTTGCACTCTAACTGCAATTGCCCGAAAAGAAAGTCCAGCTTCCCGAAGTCCCACTATACGGCCCCTATCAAACTCACTAAGTTGACGAAATCGTACAGGTCTCCGTACACTAGGCATCGTAACCGATCGTAAAGGATGTCAAGAACCAAAATCCGCCAACGTTGATTCTTTACTGCGGCTGAAATATTCATTTTTAGAGCGTTAGTGAATTAAAAAAAAAGCAGTATAAAAACCGGAATGTCCAACTGATAAGGCTGACATTTTTTTCACTTGTTATTTACAGTAAGATAAATACATTCACCAACTTTTATTAAAATAAAACCATTTAAACTGGGTGTTCGGATTTATATGTCACTTAGTTTATTTGAGGGAACTTGTATCTAAATGTACAGCTACTGGTAGTGTAAACAACAAAAAGCCCCCAGGTCATCCGACCATCCTGGAAGAAAATCAAGTTCGAATAATTGGTGAGATCATAGTAAATAACCAACAGTCTACTTCATCCATCGCGAATGTATGTGAGGTTTGTCCTTCTACTGTGTGGAGACTTTTGAAGTATCACCCATACAAAATTCAAATGGTACATCAGCTAACTGAATATGACCCTGATGAAACAATTCTTAGCTGGAGTAATATTTAAAAATGCGGAATCTTAAACTGTTTCGTTTTTACAGGAACGTGAAGAAATTCTCAAAGTACACCTCTCATCTTGGGCCTCCCATCCTAGTCAACAAACTATAGGCTACCTAGCAGAAAATACAGTAGGATACTGTGGTTCTGACTTAAGAGCTTTATGCTCAGAAGCTGTGATACAAAGCTTTAGGCGAATTTATCCTCAAGTATATGGATCTAATCATAAGTTGCTGCTTCAACCTGAAAACGTTAAGGTAATCTTTCTTCTCGAATGTTGTATGTTGTATTGCCATTAAAAGTATTGACAGCATAATTATTTCTTAACATTGTTCAATTATTAAAGTGGATTATTGGTGTATTTTACAGGTAGAGAAAATTGATTTTATTAGGGCAAAGTCCCTGCTAGTTCCAGCATCACACAGGGTATCGCAAAGGTTAGGAAGAAAATTGTTCCCTGTGCTGGATCCTTTATTGCAAGATTATTTAAAGAAATGTTTAAGTGTGATACAACAAAGTTTCCCTCATGGCTTGGATACTTCATTGGCAAAGTAAGTTATATCGTATATTGCATATCTTTTCAAACTTCGAAATTTCATTTTTTTTTCAAAATTTCCGTTCCATTACACAGCTTGCCTTCAGTGGATATTGAATTTTTGTTTTTGTTTTCAAGGGTAAAACTTTCTCCGAATATAAGACTGGCGCAGCTGCTGATAACCGGTGATGGACCGGAACATGGGCAATCGAGTCATCTGGCTCCTGCTGTGTTGTTCAAAATGGAACACATCCACGCGTATCTTTTGGATCTTGCTGTGCTACATCAAGACACAGGAAGATCTACAGAAGAAGCTTGCATTCAGGTAAGCATTTCAAGGACGTTTTTTTAAAAGAAATTGAACATGCTTAATACACTGGGTTTCTTTTTTAATAAAGGGTTGTCCAATAGGGACGCAGGAAAGTAAACGTCAATTTGACATAGACGCCATCTTTGTTTTCTGTAACCGACATGTCATTTTGTTAGTTGAATGTTTACCATTGATCGCTATGGAGTCGTATTCGATTGAAGACCACATTAAAGTTATTCAAGAGCGCTACAAAAATGGTGCAAAAATAAAAAACACGTTTCGCGCGCTTCGTGAACATTTCGGTCGCAACAACCGCCCAAACGAAACATCCATCGGTCGTCTGATGCGTAAATTCGAGGCAACAGGTTCTGTGGCAAATCTGCCAGGCTCTGGCCGGCCAAGGAGCGTTCGCACACCGGAAAATATTGCTGTTGTGAAGGAGAGTGTGAGAGACGATCCGGAACAATCAACAACGCGTCGATCCCAAGAATTGGGCATTTCGAGAACCAGTTTGCTCCGCATTCTCCACAAGGATTTGAATGTACACGCCTACAAGATCCAATTGACGCAAGAGCTGCGTCGGGCCGGCCATTTTTCGCCCCGAACGTTCTCAGATTGGCTCCTTGAACACCGCCAAATTGATGCCAATTTTTCATCAAAAATCATGTACACTTTGAATGGGACGGTAAATAAGCAAAACTGCCGCATCTGGGCGAACGAAAATCCCCGTGAGTATCAAGAGCAGCCGATGCATCCTCAAAAAGTGACTGTGTGGTGTGCATTGTGGTCAAAAGGCATCATCGGACCTTACTTTTTCGAAAATGCGGCCGGGGACGCCGTTACCGTCAATTCTGAGCGATATCACGTGATGATAGAGGACTATTTTTTGCCGCAACTTGAAGGAATGGATATGAACGATGTTTATTTCCAACAAGACGGTGCAACATGCCACACAACCAACGTCAATATCCATCGATTGCAGTCCTTCTTCGGTGATCGCGTGATTTCGCGCAGAGGAAATGTGCCATGGCCACCAAGATCGTGCGATTTGACTCCCTTGGACTTCTTTTTATGGGGATATTTGAAAAGCAAAGTCTACGTCAACAAACCAGCCACCCTCCAAGAACTCAAAAACAACATCATTGCCGAGATAAATGCCATAGAACCGACCATGTTGCAAAATGTCATTGAAAATTTCGACCATCGCGTCGACGTCTGTAAATCCAGTCGTGGTGAACATTTGAGCGATGTTATTTTTCATACGTAAATGGTATAAATGAACCTTCAAAATAAAGTAACCAACTTGATTTGAATATCAATCTTTCATGTTTTAATATGCGTTTACTTTCCTGCCTCCGTTTTGGACAACCCCATATTTATAAATCAATACAATGGCGTTGATTATTTTTCTATGTCGACGCCCTACACATTGTTTCCCAGCGATTTGGAAGCTCACAAATTCCTAGCTTGTAGAAACATGGAGGTTGAGTGACGAACCAATTGCGCAGGAAATTCCCCACATCTCGATCGTTGTCAAATCGCAATGACAACAATAACAACAAATGGTAGTCACAGGGTGGGGAAGAGTTTCCCAACGTTTTTTTTCCCAGTTTTTGCTTCGTTTCAGCGGCCGGATGTGGCCTGGCATTGTCATGGAGGAGGGTGATATTTCGGATGGGGATTTTTGCGTTCGCATGCGCCTTTTCCTGCCTCCAACAGCTGGCAGTACCAGGCAGCAATAACCGTACGTCGGTCGTGTAGAGAATCGCGAGGTACCGGCCGAGAGACGGGTTTTGGCTTTGACGAGGCCGGTTTTGTCTCTCGTTTGCCTGCTTGGACTCGGGAGTGTAACGATGCAGCCATGTCTCATCACACGTCAGGATATGATTAAAAAAAGTCTCTCCCTCCCGCCGAAATCGATTCGGATGTCTCCTACTGATTGTTTTTTTCGTCTTCGTTCAACAACCATCGAACACAGATTTTGTTGAAGCCAAGATGCTTTTTGATGATTGTTTGAGCACTTACAAACCTAATGTCCACTTCTAAAGCGACCTCATGAGTAGTGAGCCGCCTGTCACTTTCAATAAGGTCACTAACAGCTCCAATGTTGTCGCCACAGACACTTGGTCGATTATTTTCTACACGTTCTCGTCCACTCTTAAACTTTTGTGCCCAATCGGATACCTGAGCTTTAGACAGGGTGTCATCCCCATACTGAGCCTTCAATCGAGCCAAAATCTCGCACGGTTTAACGCTTTCCATCGTCAAATACTTTATTATACGGACCGGTTGCCCATTCACGGCTGTACTGACGCCTTGACTGTATAGACACGCGTCATCCCCACTCCTAATACACTACACTGCAAAGACCAACACCGCGAGAGCGCTCGTGATTGGCCTAGAAAAGTATTCGTAAAATTCCGGTTTATAACGGGTGATTTTTTAAGATGTATAGTATTTGATTTAAAAAAAAAAAAAATTTGAAAAAACGATTAAATCTTTATTTGAGTCGATAGAACGGTCGATATAATTTAATTTTTAAAGATTATTTCATGTAAATGTTGGCCGCGGCTCCGCTTTAGATGGCCTATGCGCAAGGTCCAATTTTTTCACACTCTCTCCACCATATCGGCCGGTATCTCACGAATAAATGCTTCAATATTGGCTTTCAGTACGTCAATCGTTGCTGGTTTATCCCTGTAGACATTAGCCTTAACATGGCCTCACAAGAAATAGTCCAACGGCGTTAAATCACACGATCTAGGCGGGCCCCAAACGTGAGATAAACTGTTCACCGAACTCGCCTCTCAATAGGGCCATTGTTTCGTGTGCGGTGTGGCATGTGGCACAGTCTTGTTGAAACCACATGTCAGCCAAGTCCAGCTCTTCCATTTTGGGCAAAAAAAAAGTTCACGGCAGCGCTCGCCATTCACAGTTACGTTCCGGCCATTGTCGTCTTTGAAGAAGTACGGCCCGATGATGCCACTGGCCCATAATCCACACCACACAGTGATTTTTTCGGGATGCATTGGTACCTCTTGCAATGCTTCTGGCTGGTCTTCACTCTAGATGCGGCAATTTTGCTTGTTAACGTACCCATTCAACCAGAAATGAGCTTCGTTGCTGAACACAATTTTTCGATAAAAATGTGGATCTTCCTCCAACTTTGCCAGCGCCCATTCGCCAAATTGGAAACGTTGTGGGAGGTCGTGTGGCTTCAATTCTTGCACCAGCTGTATCTTAGAAGGTTTTACACCCAAATCCTGTCGCAAACTTTTTCAACGTAGTGGAGTAACAGAAGCCCAATTGCTGCGAACGGCGGCGAATCGACATTCCACGGTCACCACTAACACTGGCGGATACAGCCGCAATATTTTCTTCAGTCCTCACTCTACGTCTGCGTGTGGGTGGTTTAATGTCCAATAATGTAAACTGGGTTCGAAATGTTGTCACAAGCTTCCGAATAGCTCCCTCAGTAGGCCGACCAAATTGCCCATAAATTGGAAGCAGTGCTCGATGCACTCTCTTAACCGAGCATGAATTTTGATAGTAAAATTCAATAATTTGCAAGCGTTGTTCGTTCGTAAGTCGATTCATGGTTAAATTATAGTCCAAACTGAACAAGTTTGACAATGACACAAGACACGATTCACGCGTCATCTGTCAAAAACAGTGTTGCCAAAAAGATACTAGCAAAAAAATCACCCTTTATTTGATCCACGTTCGTATTTTGTCTTCTTGCAGATTTTCCAAGAGGCTAGGCGAAACATCCCAAGCATTATTTTCGTACCTTGTATAGATAAATTATGGGATCTAGTTACTGAGACCGTAAGGGCACTATTGTTATCACAGTTGGCACAGTTAGATCCGAATATGCCAATTTTGTTCATGGCAACAGCAGAATGCATGTACGAAAGTCTACCTCAGCAGGTAAGAATCATCTTTGGTAGCTGAATTTTGTTTAATGTAAAATCTGGATATTAAAACCCAATTTTCTTTGTCGAACTTTTTTAGCTATTTCTTGATTGTTTACATATTTCTTAATCTACCTATTTGACTCTACTTTCAGCTCCAAAAATTGTTCTCCCACTACCGCAACGAGGTTGTCGTAGTGAGACCGTCCACCGCAGATCAGCGCAAGGCTTTCTTCAGGCCCCTGATCGTCGACGGCAGCTTGAAAACCCCGCAGAGCCCGCGAAAACGCAACGGGACCCCGCCCCCGCTACCCAGGGCCCCGACGCCGCCTCCGAGTCCCTTGGACGAGGTGCAGTGCAAGAAGTTGTACGACACTGAGGAGCACACGTTGAGGGAGCTGAGGATATTTCTCAGGGATATGTGCAAGAAGCTAGCGAATAATAGATTGTAAGTTTAGATGCACAATAAACAAATACTCGCTCGATATAGACAAAGGTTGATTCCTGCCGTTGTTTTGAAGAGGTTTGCAGCGTTTCTTCAAGATATCTTAGGATCCGACACCTTCACAGAAAACTGGAAATTTGCTCGTGTCCAAACCATCAAAACAAAAAAGGATCTAAGACCGATCCTTACAATTACAGGCCTATACAGTATATCCAGATAAGAGATAGACCGGACATAAACAAGACCACGTGATCATCGAACGCTGTAACATTCGGCAGGGACGTATTAACAGTCACGCAGTACATATTTTAGATAGTAGATGCTGCTTTGCGTAACTTTGTAGTAAATTAGCACAATTCGATGTGTATACGATTGGTGATGGATATAGGATCATGTGGGGGTGGGGTAAGAAATATATAATGATGTAAATATACATAAGGGTTTCAAAATTTTCGCTTCGATTTCCAGCTTCGGATGCCGCCTGATGTTTGGTGAAATACAGTCGAATATAATCTCAAAATGGTGTTTAAATTAGCCTAAATTAAAAATAATCGTATATCTCTTAAAATTGCTTTTAGAATATTGATTAGTATATTTTTTGATTTCTAGGTAAATATGTAACCAAATTAAAACGTTCAAAACGTAAAAAAATGTGCATGGTTGAACATTGTCAGAAAGTAGATTCTTGAATAGGTTTTGCCAAAATGGGTTCAAAAATGTCAATAATTAAAAAATACAGTAGCTTTCTAATTACTTATAACTTACCGAATTTGATGAACGACATCTTTTATTGGAAAGATGAGCTTGATGAGCTTTCATCATCGCTACTGCCTGAAGCACCAATGTCAATAATGAATGGCTCGACTTGTTCCTCTAAAATATTGTCCAGTTCCCACATTCTCTTTTCAACTTTGTCTTTCACGTGCTTAATACAGTTTTCCCATTTTTGCGCTGTTATTAATTCTAGTGCTTCTTTGAAAAGTCCTTCGAGGTCACAAAATTTAAAAGTTGTATTGTGCTTAGCTATATAATTTTTAACCTCTGCCCATATGAGCTCAATGGGATTGAGCCCGCAATGGTATGGAGGTAAACGGAGCACAGTTTTATTTTGACTTGCTGCCATTTCGTCAATGGCGTATTTTTGATATTCCGCCTTGTGATCCTTGACAATTCTTAATAATTGTACTTTCAGCATTACTTCTTCAAAGTTGATATTTTTCGAGCGGAGCCAATTTTGAACATCAACTTTCCTTGAAGCCGTTGTTGTAAGGCGCATTATCCAACACAATTACTGCGTTTTCCTCTAAGTTCGGTAAAATTTTTGAAAACCACTGTTCAAGCGATTCGCCCTTCATTTCCTCGTGGTAATCTCCAGTTTTCTTAGACTCAAAGCACCACAGACCGTCAACAACAAATCCATCCTCACTGCCAATATGGCAGATAATGAGCCTTTTCCCTTTACCTGGAAATCGAAGTACTAACTAGTGTAGATTTATTTCAATAAGCGAACCTTTTTCAAATGTTTTCATCACATTCAGCGAAAAAACATTGAGACATGAGTATCAGATTGCTATAATTGGGATTATTTAGTCATATTGAAAGAAAGAATATTGAACGTCGTATGATTACTCAGCGCTTCACAATTTAATTTAAAGTTATAAACCTTTAAAAAATGTATGATCAGGAACCTGAAATACGCGCAAATATTAATATTAACAAATTATAACTTTATAAAGCTTAAAGTATGAATTAAAATGATATTAGGAACGGTACACAATATAAAACTTGGTTACTTTTTTTAAGTTTATAATATTCGACATATTTTAAGAGTATATTAAAAAATTATTGAAATATCGAAAACACATAAAAACATGGCTTAAAAAAGTTCTAACAAATGAAAATGACAATAAAACATCCACGCATTTTATCGAAAGTTATAAAAGTTTTGTTACTTGTAATATGTTTTATCTGCCCCCTGGAATTAATGTTTAGAACCTTGTTCCCAAGGTTTGAAAAACATCCGATTGTTGTCTATTACTCGTATTTACCTGCTGGATTTTTTAATCCGGTGGACAGTCCACCTAGAAAGGCCCTCCTGGATGAAGTTACAGAATCATCAACCCATACTTTACTTGTAGTGTGTCCTGCGTTTACCCACGTTTCATCAAAGTAATAAATCTTCCTGTTTTGATTTCTATATTTCCCAATTTTTGTTAAATAATCCCTCCTCCATAGCACAATTTCTTCTCTATCCAGTAGTAAACTATTACGACCCCGTTTTTTCCATTTGAAATTTAAATGCTTCAGTAACGCATGGAAAGTTGATCGTTTGAAATTTGGCAACGTTGTATCTCCATTTACCTCCTGCAGTAGTTTATCTATAGTAGGTATTTCATTCCTAAAGAAGAATTCATGCACTTTCCTCCTAATCGCATGCTTATCAGCTTCATCCGATGATTTAACAATACTTTTGCGATGTTTACTGGTTATTGGCTCAGAAAAGGTGTGATTTTTTTTGTATTGTCTTAACACATTAAACACTGATGCGCGACACACCCCAACTTTGTGAGAAACCTTCACAACAATTTCTTTGATGGTTGATGCCTCGTTCTCCTCGCGCTCGATCTTATATATATTCAAAATGACCTCTTTCATTTCTGCACTCAGGTGTCTTTTTTAGAGCGTTTCCTAGGTGGACTACAGGAGTTTACAACTTCATCGGCAGTATCTGTACTACTGGGCATTTTGCGCAAGCAGTTGATAACAATAACAATCAATAACAAGGTATAACAATAACAACGACAAACTCAACAACTTAATAAGATAACAAACGAAAACGTCCAAAGAAATATCAAATTGCAATGATGCACACGGCATACGTAACACGTCTGAACCTGAATGTGACTCTGCCTTGATACGACTGCTCTGCCGCTCGGCATAGGCATTTAATTGCGAATTGACCAATGAGGGCTCCTGTTTTACGTCGAGACGGCGGCGTTAGCGTGAAAATCACCCGAACCTTTTGTTTACATCCGGTCTATCTCTTATCTGAATATACTGTAGCTCTGCTTTCTGTATAAGTAAGGTATTGGAGAGGTGCTTAAATCGGGAGTACCTCGAAAGAGATTGTGGATCTACATGAGGAGGCCCTTCCTCTAGGAACATGTATAAAAATATTTTTTTTTCAGATTCTTTATGTTCACCAAGCCAGTAGACACCGAAGAGGTTCCGGATTACACAACAATAATAAAGAAACCGATGGACCTGGAAACGATGATGATGAAAGTCGATTTCCACAAGTACGAGTGTGCTCGTGATTTTCTCAATGACATCGAACTTATCTGTCAGAACGCACTCGAGTACAATCCTGCTAGGTAAAAAAATATCTGCTACATAAAATATCTTTCATTCCAATTCACTTGAAAGCCGGATCTACACAAAAATTGGCATACATACAGGGTGATTCCTAATTGACTGTCAAGTTTAGATCTTACGTTCATATGTCTTAAAATTGACCCAAAAATTGCCCCCTTGAACATTTACATTCAATTAGGGAACACTCTATATTAGTTTTAACATACTGTACGCTTTAAGGTTTTGTAATTCTTTGTAGGACATCTGCCGATAAGCAAATAAGACACCGAGCATGCTCTCTGAGAGATTATGCTTACACGTTAATAAAGACTGAAATGGATTCCGACTTTGAGGATAAATGTCAGGAGATCGCCAAAAAAAGGAAAGAAAGAAAATATCGCCCGACAGAATTCTTGCCACCTTATATTTATACTCCAGGTGGGTAAAAATACTTGCTCCAGCTTTTTGTCAATGTTAAATGCACAGCATATCTAACACTGCCAGCAAATCAATTGGTGGGATACCAGCTACCACCAGCACTACTCCAACATGAGAACGTTATTCCTTGTTCCATTTGCTCTATGGTACTATTTTCTCTTGTTGTTCTACGTCTGATAGGCATTCTTTTCTTTTTTTTGTGCTATTTCTTTATTCCACCAATGGTTTGCTTCCTTCACTTTACCGTTTTTCCAGTCACTAGAGAGTTGCTTTTCTGTCTTTGTATTAGACGTGCGGTGCGTGTACCAGTGAGAATTTTCTGATTTTTTCTTCTTGCACAGATAATAGAGGCAACAACGACAACATTGTCGATGAGGAGAACAAAGAGGATAAGTCTGAAAAATTGTATAGCTCCAAAGCGACGCACAAAAAGAGGAAGCTGCGACATAGCTGGAGCCGAGGATTTTTGAAGAAAAAAAGGAAAACGAACTCTCAAAGTCAGGTAGGGAATTATATTATTCTCACTTGTCGGAATCATATAGAAAAACGAATGGTAGTACCAGAAAGGAATGGATTAATTTTTACTTTGAGTTTTGTCAGAGTGTTCTGGTTTACTATTTAATTTATTATATTCGAACAACCATTGAATGTACATACAGTAATAGACAAAAGTATACTAAGTGACATATAAATCCGAACACCCAGTTTAAATGGTTTTATTTTAATAAAAGTTGGTGAATGTATTTATCGTACTGTAAATAACAAGTGAAAAAATGTTCAGCCTTATCAGTTGGACATTCCGGTTTTTATACTGCTTTTTTTTAATTCACTAACGCTCTAAAAATGAATATTTCAGCCGCAGTAAAGAATCAACGTTGGCGGATTTTGGTTCTTGACATCCTTTACGATCGGTTACGATGCCTAGAGTACGGAGACCTGTACGATTTCGTCAACTTAGTTAGTTTGATAGGGGCCGTATAGTGGGACTTCGGGAAGCTGGACTTTCTTTTCGGGCAATTGCAGTTAGAGTGCAAAGAAGTGTAGACACTGTGGTTAGGTGTTGTCAGGCATGGCTTCGAGAAGGCCGTACGCAAAGAGCAAGGAGCACTGGACGCCGCCGTAGAACAACAGACCGTGAAGATCGCCGCCTAAGATTACTGGCCTTAAGGGACCGTTTCTCCACGACCAGGTCCATTGCAAATGAATGGTTTGCAGAACACGGAAGACCTATTGGCATGCGAAGTGTTTACCGACGAATGAGAAGTTTTGGCTTGTTTTCATACCGGCCACACTGGGTCCTCCCTTTAACTCGAGAACACCGACGTAATCGCCTTGAGTGGTGCAGACAACGGTCACTTTGGGATCAGGAATGGAACAGTATTGTCTTTAGTGACGAGTCTCGATTTTGTTTAGGCATGCACGATGGTCGTGTCAGGGTTAGAAGGCGACGTGGTGAAAGGAGGAATCCACAGTTTTTTGTTGAAAGACATGTTCATCACACTGTTGGAGTTATGGTTTGGGGTGCTATAGCTTATGGTTCCAGGTCACCTTTAATCTTCATCAGAGGTAACATGAACGCGCACGAAGTTCTAGAACCCCATCATTTACCCTTCTTGACACCCTGGCAGATCCAACTTTCCAACAAGATAATGCCCGACCACATGTTGCAAGAGTCACAATAGACTTCTTTCAACATAATGATGTCACATTGTTACCATGGCCACCAAGATCTCCCGACTTATCCCCAATTGAGCACGTGTGGGATATGATGGGTAGGAGATTCCTCAATTTGCAACGTCCTCCTCAGACTCTAGAAGCACTTCGAGAGGAGTTGGTGGTTGCCTGGAATGAGATACCTCAGGAGGACATTGACCACCTGATCAGAAGCATGCCTAGGCGCGTTGGAGAATGCGTAGCACATCAGGGTGCATCCACACATTATTAAAGGTCAAAGGGCTTTAAAGCAGTGCAATCATTTTGACATTTTTATCATTTACTTATTATGCTTCATTAAGTACTTATACAAAATTTTATTAAAATAAAACCATTTAAACTGGGTGTTCGGCTTTATATGTCACTTAGTATATTTAGGTAAATATTCATATTTGTCTATATACTTTTGTCCATTAGTATATGTATACATATTTGTAACATATACTTTTTGGACATTAAAAGGAAGTAGTCTTTATAGTTCAATAATTTCCTATCAGTATTGTGAACAGTAAAGGCTAAATAGGCGATTTTGTGTGTTTCAGGTTGAAGAAAAGGTTTCTACTAGTGATGAGCCTAAAGAAAATGACGAAGAGTCGAAAAATGAGAGAAGAGAGGCAGCTCGTGAGACGCCGTCTGCACCTCAGGGTTCCCAGTCTCAGGAACATTTAGAAAAGGATCGTGTGACGCCTGATAGAATGCTCACAATCAACTGTGATGAAAATACGCCTAGGCGGCTTTCGGCTAGTTCATCCTTACTGTAAGTATATTTCGATAAAAAAAAATCAAACAAGTTTTGTGAGGTTTTTCAACTTTGTCGTGTTATTTGGACGATCGGAGGATTGATTAACGTATTCTACCAAAAAATTATCCGATATGAAAAGGAGAACCTTCTCGTAATCTGTGAGACTTTGTCACAGCTACGGAGGTTGTTTCACAAATAAGGTGTCCCACATTTTTTTCAGGCACAAGGAATTTTTTATTTGACGAAACGAATTCACCATTGGACGATGTAGCTGTGAAAAATTCCCATAGATGGTTGTATGGTATCTCATTTCATATCGGATCGTTCCGAGGCTCCATCAAGAAATCACTGCATGAACAAATGTAGCATATGGTTGGGGTTACGCTAGTCATTGTTTGTACACTGCACTTCAAGTATCGTTTTTTTGATTTTAGATCTCCAAAAAGGTCGTTGAACGATTTGCTTAGCCCATCAGAGCTGTTAGATAATCCGCTAGATTTTGACGATGTTGAAGAGGCGTTGAATGAAACAGGTATTTTACTAGTTTGTATACAGGGTGACAGGTAAATAGGTGTAAAACATTTTAGGAGGTGATAGTACAGCTCCTTTGCTATCAAAATTAGTATATAATACTATACCCTATATTCAAAGGTTAAAAATTTATGGAAGATTTAATTTTAAAAAAAAAAACAACCCAGATTACAGAGTAAAATAGTTGAGATAAAAAAAAGTTGGTGATTAAACATTCTTTTTTTGGTGGTTTCATGTTATTATCTAAATAAATAATTCTCATATATTAAAAAACATATACTGAAAACGTATTTATTTTCATTTAAATGTTAAATGAAAATTTTTATTTTCAACTTTCACATTAAGAAGTCTTTTTTTTCAAAAAAATCATATTAAAGAAAATGTACAAATAACTGCAAAAACTTCCTCGTTTCATTAGGTTTCTAAAATGGTATAATAACATATCAGTAAGTAAACCATTTAACAAAACAATATTACTTTGCCAAAAAGGACCGCTAAGCGCATTTCATAGTACTGAGCAGGTAAACCGAGCCTTTCATGGTTCGACCCTTTTTGTTATTTTTTGTGCCCTGTGCCGTTATTCGGGATTAAGTATTCGGAATCTGTCGTCGCTCCTCGGAAGCAAGCTCTGCGTGTGTTATGAATTGACCCAGCTGACGGATCAAGGAAATTGAACTAACGCTTAGGTTAGTTAGTAGAATATCAACCTTTAACGCGGTAGGACGTACTTTTACTTTTTTGTTCAGTTTTAATAATGGCGAGTTACCGTAACAAAGAATACGCTGATATTCTGTTTTGTTATGGTTTAAGTGATGGAAATTCCGTTGAAGCCAGGCGAGAATACGAAAACCGTTTTCCGAATCGGCGAATACCGAGTCATCGAGTATTTGCTTCTTTATACCAACGCGTCAAGGAAAGTGGACAGGTTCATGAGAGACGTCATGATGTTGGTAGACCTCGGTTGTTTGACGACGAAGATCGAGAGGCAATACTGGAATGCTACGGCAGAGACCCGACGACGTCTACACGAGTTATAGCAAAGCAGCTTGGTTTAACTCAGAGGAAAGTTTGGTTCGTTTTGCATTGGGCGAGACTTTACCCTTTCCATTACACACCGGTTCAAGTATTGGAAGAAGGAGATCCCGCAAGAAGAATTGATTTTTGTCGATACATGCTTCATCGGGATCAAGAAGAAAACGACTATTTAACTAAAATATTGTGGTCCGACGAGTCTAAGTTTGACAGAGAGGGGACAACAAATTATCACAACTTACATTATTGGGCCCCACGAGAGGCAAATCCCCACATGGCAAAGCCAAGAGCCCATCAAAGAAGACTTTCGGCAAACGTGTGGATGGTAATCATTCATACGTATCTAATCGGACCAGTTTTTTTGCCTGACAACCTGAATGGCGAATCCTATGAAAACTTTTTGAGATCCGAACTCTGGGAGTATCTCGAAGACCTGCCTCTGAATATCAGGATGCAGATGATCTACCAACACGATGGCTGTCCCGCGCATTTCCGTCTGGGTGTTAGACAGTGGCTGGACGAGAAATATCCTTGTCGCTGGATTGGCCGAGGTGGACCGACACCGTAGCCAGCGAGGAGCCCAGATTTAACACCGTCTGACTATTATTTATGGGGGCACATGAAGTCACTGGTGTACGCTGAACCCATAGACACTCTTGCACAGTTGAAAGAAAGAATTATTGCTGCTGCTGACACTATCAGAGGACAACTAACTGGCCGCATCACCCGTACCAACATGAGAGAAAGACTACGGGCTTGCATAAGAAACGGAGGGCGTCAGTTCGAACAACAATTGCAATGAATTTTACCTTCATTCCATTATTGTATTTTACTTACCAATTGTAGTAACTTTTAGTCAGTTTTTATTATTCTGTAGTACAATTACAACTATGTAAATAATCTAATCGTGTAACTTAACCGTAGTTTAAAATAATAACTATCCCATAGCTTACAGTTACATTATTTTCACCAAAACTTTTTCTTATCAATCAGAGAGTTGTGAAAATAGGAGACAAGCCATTGGTAAATTTACTCCCTATTGTTGTATTACAATACATTATGTTTAGTTTCACACAGTTTTTGTGCACTTATCATACCAATTTAGATTCCTTATGAAACAAGGATATTATTTAAATTGTACGTTTTTTTGTATACTGATTTTTTTGTAAAACACCTTACTTACTGTAAAACGTTATTTGTTTTTCTTAGTTAAACATTTTTGAATGAAAATAAATACGTTGTTTGGTATTGTTTTGCAATTCTTTTTAATTTATAATAGTTAATTATTGAAAGAATAACCCAAAACCACAAAAAACAAATGTTTAACTTTTCAATCTTTGAATATAGGGTATGGTATTATATACTAATTTCGATAGCAAAGTGGCTGTACTATCACCTCCTAAAATGTTTTACACCTATTTACCTGTCTCTCTGTATATAAATATCTAGCTTCACTACTGCTTGAGAACTACTGATCCCGTTGGACTTATGGTCTACAGTTTGTTAATATCCCGTTCGATTTTCAGCTCCTGCCCCTTGCAGCGAAAATAGGGTGGAGTGTTCCCAAACTGAGCTTGAGAAAATTCTGGATCAAGCTGTCAAAGTTACAGACGGCTCTACTCTAATTACGTTACTGGACTTGTACAATCAGCTCAATAGGATTGTGAAGAAATATTCGAGGACCCATTGTAGGAGTTCTCTACCAAAGGTAAGGGTCTGAGTATAAATTATTCGAAACGGCTGAGCTGATTTTAACAAACTTGTGCTATCTTTGGACTACAAATGTTATAATATATTTTTTTTCAGCAATTATCTGACGAGCTGTCCAGGTTCAAGGGGAAATCTTCAAAGCGAAACTCATCTACCTGAAGCGTCATCGCCTACCTGTCCATTATAATTTTAGCTTGAAGAATTTTATCCGCATTTTAAATTTATTTTTTATAGCAGTATTTTACTTATTCGTTTGTCCACTAATTTATTTCTACGGAGGATAATTTATATTTTATATAACATACAGCACCAAAGACTTGTTTTCTATAAAAGTATCTCCACTGCCACCAATCAAAAGGCTGATTTATTTTTTATAAAACCTTGTTGAATATATGTGTCGTAGACTGGTGGAAAATGAGCTTTATCAGATTCACGCGTATATTACAAAATATCCTTAACATTGTTATGTAAGTACAGCTCTGAAATTGTGTGTGAATATTCATCTTTTATGGAAGGATGGAACGAGTGATTACTTTTGTTGTTATCACTTTTACTTTTCGAAAAATCTTTGATTTTCTTGAAAACTCAACTTGCTGTGAGACGAGGCTTCACGAAAATCAAAGATTTTTCGAAAATGAAACAAAAGTAATCACTTGTTTCATTCTTCCATAAAAGAGGAATATTCACACAGAATTTCCGAGCTGTACTTATAATTGTTAACGAGTTCCGATTGAAGAAAGAATACACAATAAAATGCATTTTCTGACAATTTTGTTTTTTAGTCACACCATGAAATTATCAGATGCTGTGCAAGCCGCGATTTTTTGTTGATGTGTTTCGAGAGATTTATGCGACATCAGTCTACGCCATTCTGACAGTTGTAAATATATATGTGCCTTCCCTGGTTATGTTGAAATAACTATTTTTTGCAGTGCAGATATGCGGGAGTATTTCAAATTCTCAGTTTAGTTTTGAGTGCCATTCGAGTATTTGTAAAATGTGGATTTCTATGTATAAACCGTGATTGTTTTTCGTGTTAAATCGAAACAGTATGTCAATCTTTTTCTTGAAAATAATGGTTGAAATTAAAATAACGTTGTTTTAATTGTCCTTTACTCATCCTTTATAAAAAAAAAAACATATATAACAAAGTTCACATTTGGAGTCTCCTGACTGCAGGACAAATTGATGCATGTAACATTATAATAATACAGCAGACTATCGATAATGTAAACTAATTTAATCCACATTATCGAAATGTTTACATTAGCGAACGTGATTTATATAATATTTGATTTATTAAAAGAAACGTTTAATACATACTATTTATAACAAAATAAACAAATATTCTAACTGCGATAAGTATTTTTTAATTAGAAGAAAAATAATTAACAATTTTTGTCTGCGTAAGTTTGCGCTTAGCATTGTCTTCCAATGCCTGCGCCCGTAATTTACGAAGAACTAAAATATCCGTGTATGAAACTTCTTTTCTTTCAGCCCAATCTAAAGCTTGGTTAAAAACTTGTATAGCTTGCGCGTCAGTCACTACACTTCTGACTTCAATGGGATCGTTCTCATCATCCTCACTGTCCATATCCTCCTCCTTAACAGCATCATTCGTCTGCTTATCTTCGTTCCATAAATTAATATCAGCAGGAGTACAAACAATGTTGAGATTCACTGTTTTCAATAAATCAACAATATCCAATGACACACTAATAACACTTATAAACTTGCTCCATGCTCGGTACAACGTACTTCTGCGAGCAGATGTTTTCTTTAATGAATCTGAACAAAACAAAAACAGGTCTTTGTCTGATGTGTCCTTAAAACTTGTTGAATCGAAACGCTGTCAAAGATCATCTTAAGAATAAAGCATCCCACAAACCGGCGCGAAATATTCGCTTTGGCTGCGAAAATTTCGCAGCGATGAATTCGCGATCAGATTAAAACGCGGCGGTTTACGGACAGGCTCAGACTTGTGCGAAGCGAATGCGATTGTTCCAGCGTTTTTATCGCGGCGTATTTCAGTTCGCCTTTGACCGCGTTTTTGACGCCGTTCTTCAAAAATTCGCAATGGCAAAAACGGAATTATTGATAGAAATAGTGGAAAAGTATCCTTGTTTGTATGATTTGTCGAACGATGAATACAGGAATGTGAGAAAGAAAGACAAGATTTGGATGGAAATAGGAAAAGAATTAAATACAAATGGTATGTACCTAATATTTTTTATTAACTTGTTAAATAATTTACAGTCTACACAAATGTGAAAACGAACATTCTATATATTGGGCATAGGCATATCAGAATTAAAATAATTTACAAATTTGTCACGAGTAGAAAATGCTAGCCTTGCTGCCCGCCGAGGATCATTTGCTATATCAGTAAAAGCTCCAAGCACGGGTTCTGGGGGATCTAAGAATTGAAAATATTTGTCATCGCCACTTTTACTTCGTAAAAAATTGTGTAAAACACATGCCGTACGTACAATTAGAATAGTAGTATCTACTTTAGTTTCTAATGGCCTGTAAAATATTCGCCATTTTTGAGACAAAATACCAAACGCATTTTCCACGACCCTTCGATTTCTCTTTTCTGACGTCTGTTAAAGTCTGCTTATAAGGAAATGATCACATAAGGTATGGTTTTAAAGCAAATGCTTCATCACCAATTAAGACGTACGAGCAGATTTCATTTTGCCCAGGGAGAAATCTAGGTGCAGGGACACTCATTAAATTTTGTTCAAATCGTTTTCCCATGTTTGAGGTTTCGAAAATACCTCCATCACTATTTTTTCCGAAACCACCAATATCAACACATAAATTTATAGTCCGGGCCAACAATGGCCATAAGTACTATTGAATATTTATGTAAATAGCACCAGTAATTGGAGCCACTGTTGTTAGGTCTCTTGATTGTTACATGTTTACCGTCCACGCTGCCAATGCAATTGGGAAATCCCCATCTATTTTCAAATTCTTCAGCACATTTTTTCCATATATTCTCTGTTGGTTCTGGTAAATATATATGCTCCATATGTCTGCATATCGCTTCACAGACTTCGGTTACGATTGCACTCACTATTGTAAAGCCAACTCGAAAGCTATGCCCAATGGTATAGAAGGTGTCACCAGTGGCAAGGAATCTATAAAAAAAATCGTTTTTAGGTGATGAAGTAAAAAAAAGGTGGAAGAATATCAGAGACACATTTGCAAAATATATAAAATCTACCAAACCAAAGACCGGCCAAGCAGTGGGCAACATAAAAAAATGGCAGTGGGCTGACTACATGGAATTTTTCCGTCCTTTTTTGGCATTTGCCAAAACGTCGTCTAATGTGAAAGATATTGACGTCATACATTATGAGACTGCCGAATTTAACTCAAATATATATCAGGAAAGTGCTGGAAATGTAGAAACCGAAAATTTGGAAGACCGCGGCCATGGAGAGATGTAGATGCAGAAGATGCATCGGCAACACAGACAGCACCACCTTCTTCATTGAACACTACAGCAGTGACTACTCCAGGGCAAACCTTTCCGCAGACTGCAACTACACCAAAATATAAAACGAGCAGAAAACGCTATGAACCACCATCTTCGTCTGTACAACAGCTCATTAATTATTTTGAAGGTAAAAAACCTAAAAAAGAGAACGAGGTCATTGATTCACTTTTCTTGGCACATGCACAGACTGTGAAAACACTTCCCTTAAAGCGTCAAGCCCGAATAAAACTAAAAATAGCCGAATTAATAGCGCACGAAGAATTTGAACATATTGAAGAAATGTCTTTAGCGTCTACCCAGAATTCTGCAAGTATGTATGATAGTAGTATGTCGTCCTTCCCAAGCGGCACTGGGTTTACTCCAATAATATACCCAACAGAGGAGGCAAATTCTGCCTCGAATTATTTAGCAACATTTAATCCTAGTGGCAACATGTAGTCCAATTATTACCATAAAATATTTATTTAACGATCCCTGAAGTTTTCGTATTCGATAAGTCTACTAATTTTAATACATATAATTTTTTTACCTGAGTGTAATAGCAAGTCGTTCTTCTGGCGAAATAGCTTCACGATAATTTGTGTCAGATTTTCGTATTTCATCTTTCACCAAGTTCAATATTTCATCGAAACACTCTGGAGTCATTCTAAAATATACGTAAAAGCGCTGTTCATCCAGCCGAAGTTGTGACATCAAGGTATGGTATTCCCCAAATTTATTTCGTTCCAAGTTAATATCATGTACCCACTTCCTTCGTTTCCTAAACAAAATTGAAAATATTTGTTTTATGTACTGCGTTAAACTTAATACATACCCAACTATCAAATGGCGTTAAATAAACATAACTTACCGTGCATTTTGTTCCTCTTCTAAAGCAAGAAATAGAAGTGCCTCATCTTCTTCTGAAGACGAGCTCATTGCAAAAGGCAAAAATAAAATGTACGCAACCTGTCGAAACCTTCACGTTCGCGGAGCGAATAAGACGCTTTGGTATGAATAAACAGGCGAAACAGATTGCGAATTTCGCTCTGAATTTCGTTGCAAATACTTCGCCGCGATTATTTCGCGCCGGTTTGTGGGATGCTTAAATGTTTTTACGTCGAAATTATGAATATTATTTTATCACCCGCGCGTTGACTCGATCAGACCAATTCAAATGTCACGAGTTGGAGAGGCCTGAGTTAGTTTAACAAATGAGACGAGATAAGTAAAACTGAGTTATGGGTTCACATACAACACACATTGAAAGAAATAATCGAATAACAAATCGTGAGAAATAATTTCTATACAAAACCATAACAATATTCTAAAGGCAAAGAAATTCCTATTCTGGCTAATGATGAGATCCCAATCATAGTTTGAGCAAAATTTTGATATCAATGACCTTTCAGTGATGCTTGATTCCCATGGTCATGGTTTTTGATAAATCAACAAAAATAAATACTGAATATTTTTTTGTTCTGATTTTAAATGGAAGGATGCAGGTGTTCAAATACTTTCAAAAGATAGTATATCTTCCTGACGCAAATGCTGGAGGCCCACATGCATTAATAACACGAAAAACTTGAGCTTGAAACATGTTTTATTTGTTGCACATTCATAACTTTGTAACAAAATTTTCGCGGGCGGAATTATCTGGATATCTTAACATCATGGAATTAGAATTTCCAGCTTCTAGGCAATAACCAAGAGACTTGTAGAAAGATATGAGAGGGTCTTTGCAATCCAGGGACATTTTGTAGCAGCCCAGTTTCTTGGCAAGAAGAGTTACAGTTAGAACAATCCTAAAAAAAAAAATAGTGTGTGATGAACAGACTTCACACTGTCTCACATTTAAATAGGAATGATTGAAGGATTATCTACTGATGCTACTTAATCCAAGTGTACAAAATAATAGGATTTTAAATCAAACAGATTATAGTGGATGATTGATGATATCAATAAACTAAATACTAGATATTTGGCAGGAGCATTTATAAATGTTTGAACCCAGTGGCAGCTAGTCTGGGCTTAAAAAAGGGGTTTTTACTAAAAAAAAGTTTTATGAGCATGTATTATATTAGAATATATTCTTACAATTTTCCGAGTTGCTTTCCTCTATAAGAATTATTCACAACTACATCTTCAAGTCTACCCCTTATAGCACAATTGTGGATAAATTTTAATTCAGTTATCAAGGTAGATGCTCCAATGATCTCATGATTTCTTGTGTCTTCTATTACTGTCACATAGTATCCACCTGCTTTTTTCATATTCCAAAATTGACCTGCAAAAATAATAAATTTTATGTATTTCTGAATATGACAAATATAGTAATGATAATGAGTCCTTACTTTCAAACAACGATCTTGATACATTTCCAACAGTTGTAAGTTGCCTCAGAATTTGTAGAAAACCATTATCGTAGTCGGAGATTCTTAGTGGCCTTACTAACAACCATGTTTCCCCAGGGTTTTCACTGGTGATAGGAGGGTTTAAGGCATCTTGAACAGATGACCAGTCAAGATCCTTCAGCAGTTCAGGATCATAAAGGTTTTCGTCCGCATATGTTGACTAAAAATAAAGAATTACAAAATGTTTTCTGTTTTTTTTTTGTTGTGTAGCTTACAACGAGTGTGCCCATGCTTGGTTGTGTTAGAGTGAATTATGAAGTGATGTTCATCACAACGTCAGATTTAGATAAGATAAAGGCTGGAAATCCTTGGTTAACCAGACACCTCACCTTTTGTTTATTTTTACTTTCACTTCCATTCAATATGTTTTTGTTCCAACCAACAAGAAACCTTTGGAATTACTTACTTTAGTTCCCATTCTACTTATATACGAGGCTACAAAGTTGGGGGCGTTGATACGATTTTTTAAAGATATTGGTAAAATTTGAATCAAAATGAAAACATTTTTAAAAAATTAAACCCTTTCTATCTGTCCGCCACAAAACACAAAACATAAGAAGAATCACAGAACACAAAACACACAGAACATCCCATACAGAACTTGACACAGGATAGACGTCTTGAGAGGGACCACTGAAAAAGACCATCTTTATCCCTATCACTTGACATGCATAGCATGTCATTAATACTACATAACTCAAGCATCAGTGGTATTTTAAATGACTAGATATAGTAGACGACGACGCTTTTAGATTCGTTTACATTTTTGCCGATACTCATAAAACGGGTATAAAACCGAGAACGGAGGCATGAGGATAGAGACGGATCTTGGTTTGACACCATTACGAATAATTTTACAAATTGTAGGATATGGCACGTTAGTCAGTTCGGCTGTTTTTTTAAGGACAATACTATTGCTGCTATGACCCATTTCACGTAACGGTCCATTATAAAGCAAATCTGCTGAGCACTAACAGACAAGCACAGTCTTTTAGAAATACGACGGTATTTCTGACTATTAGCTACTACTATCAATATCATGCGCATTGACAGTATCACTGTTCGAAGAGGCTTTGCTGCAAGAAGTGCAAGATGGGTTTCCATCTTTCATAGTGCCTGTCTGAGCAGATCGTTCCCAAGAGCGGAACAAATTCGTATCGCACATAATTATTATTCAAGACGTCTACTATACTTTTTTACATAGCAACGAAATGTTACAATTTAAGTCAAAAATGATTTCAACACTGAACAAAGATGGTGTACCGGTACACTTGATATCTAAATTTTATGAGTACCTAAATCTGCAATTTTCTAAGATTTTAGCGTTCCGAGATGGAATTGTCAAAGTTGTCATAATTGTTGTGTCATCTGTCAAACAAAACAAATTTTTATTACAGTTTTTTCAAGAATCTTAAATTATTTTTCATTTAAAAGCAGGAAAATTCGAGTCAAATCCCTTGATTTTCGACTTTTGTGGAACGTATATTTCACAAGGAGCGTGATAGTACACAGCAGGACGATAATCAAGTCGAGTAATTGATACTGCAAATCCAATTAGAAAATCTTCTATAACAGGATTGCTCTCAAATCCTAGCTTTAAATTTAACCTGTGTTTACAATTAAATACAAACAGAAACTATTTTCGATCTCATTTATTAGTGTAACCGGTCTGATGTTATAATATGTACAGTTAGGAATCATATTAGGGAACTTGAAGATGTTCAATTCAGGGATACAAGGAAGTCAAAGGTAAACATTATCATATTGTTTGTATATTTTGGTTACGTCCTTCTCTCTTGCAGGTGCAATGGTTTAAGTCAAACAGCATCTTCACTCCAACAAATTTCTAGTAATAATAAGCAGATACAGCCAGCAAATTCTAATAGATGTAAAATAGCAAGCCGAGGTCCACATAACAATGATAAGCTTAGATACCGTAGGAGCAGCAAAAATGGATTATTACCAAATGTTGATTATGCTAATATTAAGGTAGAACCAGATGACTTAGGATATAAAAATCATGTTACTGCCCACAGTATTATAGGTAAGCATTGAATTTGCCCGATTTTAACAATGTATTTCATAGATGCTAATTATAAAACAAGGATGCATGCAAAAGTTTAGCTCAGGGGGATCAGATCTTAAAAATACCAATCACTGTACACAAAACCATGTAAATTTTAGAGGGCAGACAGATTCTCAAGGGCCTTGGGAATTTTTATCAGGGGGGCAATCATCAGCAAAAGGGCCTGACACTAAATGCATGGGTTCTAGTATAAAAACACAAAAAACAGTATTTTTGGTACTGATTTTTAAAAATGTTATAGGAATCCTATTTTTTTCAGTACCCCCAAGGCCAAGTTGCTTTATAGTAGTAAAAAAATATTGTTCTTTTAGTACCTTTACAGTTAATTTATAATAATTGTAACAGGAAGAAAAATAGCATGAATCTGTATGAAAGTGTTTTGATATTTCAGGATTAGGAGATATAAATGGCAAATCAAAGCTGAGCACAACGCCAACAATGGAAAAACAAAAAATAAAAAAAGAAGATGTAGCCACACAAAATGATTTAATCCAGTGGATTAATTTTGAAAATGATATTTATAATCATTATCAACATCATTGGTTCAGTGCAGGTCTTGAGGTATTTACGCTTATTTTAAACATCAAAGCACTTTTTTAATCAACAATCTACTTTTTCAATTTATCATTTACAGTTATGAAGATCACATGCACAATGTGGAATATTTTGAAAAATATTTTTATTCATCATTTATCTACTCAGTTCATTGCATCGTGGATACATTTTAATCACTATATTTTTCATTAAAGATAACAGTCGTATCAACATCAACAATGGTATACGTTGTATTATGTACTTGATGTGTTTCAGAAATTCAAGATAGAAGATAGATCACGAGAGGAAAGGATCGAAATAACTAGACATGAATTTAGGAGACACATTCAGCAGTTGGTTAAAAGTAATGTCGGTCAACCGAATAAGTTTTTGCAAGAATTTTTCAAACAGTATGTTAGGCATTCACCTTCATCAGTCTCTAAAAGCAAAGTAAGCATTTTAATACACTCATTGTAGATAATAATCTTTATTTCTTATTTGGGTCTAAAGCCTGTCATCGGTCCTCGTGCTAGCGAAACGTTAGGAAGAAATTCCAACCTACGACGGCCTTTAGACCCGAATCAAGACAACAATTTATCAACTGGCCGCGAAAGCCTTAACCAATTTATTAGGAATATCGTTAATATATAAAATGTTTAGTAATGGACCTAATTTGCTACCCTATCGCACGCCTAGAGAAATGTTTTTAATGCTTGATAGTGTATTGACTTCTTTTGATTAAATAATTGTGTAATATGTTGAATAATGAATTTTCAAATCCATAGTAATGCAAAACAATTTCTCCTTGTCAATAGTTTGAAATCCCAGAACAATGTTATTGTAAACTGTCATCTCCATTCTTCTACTACCATTTGATTTGCTGTTTCAGTAGAATATTTTTTTTTCTGAATCGTGCTTGAAATTTCGCCAATGCGTTGTTTTTTTTTCGATGACATTTCTACATGGTTCCCCGTTTTGTCGCAGTCTTACACCAGCGAAAGACACTACCGCCATCTGACGGCCACGCGGCGCTGTTGCGTGCAGGACTGCGCGAGACAAGCGTTGCCATGCGCGGCGCACTGCTCGATGCATATCATGCTCAACACCGAGCAGGTGTTGTTCCAGTACTGTACGGCGAAGTTCGCAGATAACACGCATTGCACCACTCCGGTGGTGAATATACAGAACGAATTGGCGTTGTGTCGGGAACACGTCAGGAAACGGGTGGGTATTTTGGAAAGATCGATTCGATTTCAGCTTTTACAGGGTGTCCCAATATTCCGTGGACATGGAAGTACCACGTATTTTTATACTTAACTCTGGAATACTAACCATCGTAAATTTTACGAAATTACTGTTTTTTTTGCTCGCAGTACAACTGGGCTGGGCTCACGTCTAGTCTTCTGTTAAGTACTGTGTAAGAAAGAGGTCGATATCCATTGGATGTGTGTTAGTTTAAGAACGCCTTCATTTTTACAAGGTTAGCATTAAGGGATTGGAACTTAAGCTTAGTATTCCAGGATTAAGATAATTGGACATGATTTACCTGTATATAATAGTTCTTCGTTTGACATTAAGACGGCGTCGAAGTTTTCTTTGTAAAACACATTTTTTCATATATTTTCGGAACCTACAGTCCGATTTGAATGAAATTTGGAACACGTGTTTTGCCAGGCGTCATAATATTTGATTTTTACAAAATATCCGAAAGGGTTCGAGAAGGGTAAAAACTAGCCCCACCCATACATAAATTACGAGTTTTGTTTCAAAAATAAGGTTCCCACATTTTTTTCAGGCACAAGGAATTTTTTATTTGAAAAAACCAACTCACTATTTTAAACGTTGATCTTTAAACTATTTTTCTTCAAATTCGCCATTTTTTACGCGTTGTCAAATCGCTCGATTAAGCAGGGGTGGTGTTAGTTTTCACTCCGATTTTTCGTAAAAGTCAAATATCGGAGGCCAAAAAATAATCTTTCATATTGAAATCTCTGATCATATTTAGCTTCTGCTAAACCTAACGCTGACATTGCCGTGTCATGATACATTTGCAGGATAATTACAAATTGTATCAAGAAACAAAACCAAAGAAACTAAGGAAAAAAGTGAAACCTTCGGCTATGATCCGACCGCAAAAAAGGAGCAAGAAGAAGAAAAAATTAGTAAATTATGCAAACAAATCAAACGCTGCACCTGTATCGTCATCGCTGGTACATCGGCTGTCTAGGAGTTCACCTGAATCAGGTAAAATTGTAAATATGTGTCAAAGGGCGACTGCATAATTTTTGCGTTGATTTGTTATGTTGCGGTCGGCAATTTGTTTTTCTCAGCCGGGCTGTTAAACACATAAATAATGTGCAAAAAATCATGCTAAGTGAACAATTATTTTATAGACAGTATAAATCAAATTGTGAAGACGATCGATGACAGTGATCCCAATTTATGTTCATTACAAGTATATCATCATTCATCAATGAATCAATTTATAACAATTAAAATCAACAATCTAAGAAAAGCTGTCTCAGAATTGAAATCTAAAAAAAATCCAAGTGAGAATCGCTCAAAGTTCTAAATGATTGTTCCAATATAATTGGAGAGAAATTATTATTGGTGATTTGTTGTTTAGTATGTGGTGAAAATTAAAGTGTTTTACCATTACTCCTGTGCCAAAAGTTCAATATTCTGAGGTATACAGGATTTGTCCGGAAAGTAATAGGACTCATTTTCTTCCGCCATGACTGTACTAGAGTCAGGACAGGCATTTTCGCGCGACTTGTTTCTGCGAGTGGTGCAAGCCGAAAATGCAGCGTTCGTTAGAGCAGAGGTACGCGATTAAATTCTGTGCGAAACTCGGTAAATCTGCGACAGAGACGTTTGATATGATCAAGCAGGCTTACCCAGGTGTTGCTTTAGCAAGAAGTGGTGTGTTTCGGTGGCACCATGCCTTTTTGGAGGGCCGGAAAGAGGTCGCTGATGAAGACGACCTTCGACTTCGACAAACACCGATAATGTGACTCGTGTGCGCAAAGTTTTGAACTCAGACCGTCGACTAAGTATTCGTTTAATTGCCCGGATGTTAAATTGACCAAAATCTGTGGTTCATGACATTGTGACACAGCATTTGAACATACGCAAGGTGTGCGCGAAGATGGTCCCAAAAGTGCTGACTGACGACCAGAAATTGCGGCGAGTGGAAGTGTGCCAAGAAAATTTGAACATGTGTGAAAGTGACCTCCAATTTTTGAATAACGTAATCACAGGTGACGAGTCGTGGATCTTTGAGTATGATCCCGAGACAAAGAGGCAATCTTCCGAGTGGCACACGACGGCGTCTCCTCGCCCGAAAAAGGGAAGAATGAGCAAATCCAAAGTGAAAAGGATGCTCATTGTCTTTTTTGACATCAAAGGCATCGTCCACCATGGATTTGTGGACAAACCGTCAACGCCAAGTTTTACGTGGAAGTGCCCAGGAGATTCAAACGAAGGGTCAGTCGGGTCCGACTGCAAGTTGCACCACGACAACGCCCCGGCTCACACCAAGACCAAGGCAAGCATTTTGAGACGACAGAGAGGATCCAAGCAGCATGCACCGCGGCTCTCAAGGCTATTCCGGAGAATGCCTTCCCTGACGCCTTCAATGCTTGGAAATCGCGCTGGCAGCGCTGCATCGACGCAGAAGGAGCCTATTTTGAAAGTTTTTAAAGAATTGTAACGATTGGCTCAATAATTTTTTTTAAATCGACTCAGTCCTATTACTTTACGGACAAACCCTGTATACTAATATCATTGAATTCATGGAAGAAAACAAAATTTTGCCAAAAAATCAAGCTGGATTTAGAAAAAAATATTCTACAAAAACAGCAATCCAAATGGTGGTGAAAATATATTGTAACAGTATTTTTAGACTCCAAAAAGGCATTTAAGACTATAGATAGGAAAACATTGTTAATGAAAATTTGCAACACTATGGTTTTAAAGGATCAGTATTAAACATTTTACAAAATTATTCATTAAATAGAATTAAAAAAAAAATAACATTGGAAATATTATGTGAATGTTAATAAACTTCAATTAAATACTAATAAAAATGTATGTCAATATCGGAACATTTAGGTGACAAATCAGTTAGGCTCATGATTGAAGATGAAAAAATTGAAGTATTCGAATCATTTAAATATCTGGGTATATTTACTTATTAAAATTATAAATATGAAACCAGCAATAAAAAAAAACATAATTATTGAAACCCCAAAAAATAAAGAAATAATGTTGAAATCTTCTTTATACTTAGGTCTAAAATTATATCATAACTTACCAAAGTATATCAGAAAAAACAGAATATCATTATTAAAAATAGATGTATACGAGTGGCTTTTGAAAACTGTTATAAACATGATGTAATTTATAAAAAACTAACATATATCTTTTGTTCATTGTTGCTCTACGATCTAGAATTAATGTATACATTGTGACGGAAAATCGATGCGGAGCCGGTGGGGGGAGATAGTACAAGCCAATCTGAGTCGAATATATATATATATACTATACTAACTACTGTCCGAAAATTAGCCGTTTTCGAATTATACTAATTTTTAAGATTTTACAAAATTAACGTCCTTTATACGTTAACCAAGTCATAAAACTTAAAAATTGGGTGTTTCATTTGATTTTTTTTGGTTTTACAATAAAAATATTCTAAAATACGAAAACTGATACTCAAATGTACATTATTGACGGTATCTCATGCAGTAAGCTTCAAAATAGTTCGATTTTTTAAAAAAAAATCTTCGTTCATGTCAAAAACTCAATTTACTAGAAACAATCACCTACAAATTTTTCGTGCAAAACAATTTTAAAATATCTAAGTTTTACCTTTTAATTGAGGTATCAAAGTCACAAACCGGTTTAGAAATGACAAAAATATGAGTAAAGAAACAGGTAGAGCCGCGAACATCGGACTTTGCCACCGCCACATTCAGAAAACTTCACAAATATAAATAGCCATTATCATAACTACGAAACAAGAGGCAGTATAGATTTTCATCAGTAAAATTGTAATATTAGCATAACCAGCAAATCTGTAGTTCAAAGAGTATTTGAATTCAATAAACTAGTAGTAGTAGTAGTAGTAGAAAGATTTATTTAGCACATTTGGCTACATAAACAGAACAATTGTAAACAACTTAGAACTAGTAAATTCAAGCCATATGGTGTATGATGTACATGCTGGGCAACCTATAATTGTAGATTTAACAAGTGATTTCTCAATTTTACTTTAAATTCTGTCAAGGTTTTCTGGTCTTTTATCTCCGAGTATAATTTATTATATTCAATCAACCCTTGATGGAATACAGATTTGTAGCATATGTTATACTTTTTGGTCATTAAATGGAAGTCATCTTTATTTCTGGTATTATGTAATTTGATGATGTTAAATTAGTTAGACTTGATGGAAATATATTATTTTTTACTTTATAAATGAATATCATTACAAGATATTTGATAAAATTTTTTACATTGAGCCATTTTAATTTGCTAAGCATTTGCCTAATTGGAGTATATTTATCTTTATTTAGTATTATTCTCATGCACTTATTTTGTAAAATTTGCAGTCTTTCAAAAATGGAATTATTTGCTAAATGTAGAATAGTCGAACAGTACAAGAAATTTTGAAGAATGATGGTATTATAGATAATTTTTCTGCTATATGAACTCAGACATCCAGAAACTCTCGATAAATATCCCACTTTACTACTAATCTTATTTATAACTTTTTCATAATGAATATCAAAAATTAATCGAGAGTCAACAAAAACCCCCAGGTATTTAAAATTTTCTACGAATTCACTATCTTCACCATCAATATTCAGTTGAACATTTGTACATTGTTTTTTCCGATTAACAAGGCTTTCGTTTTACTTGCATTTAATTTTAGTCTGTTAGATGCTAACCATTTTGAGACAAGCTTCAAGTCTTCATTTATATAAGAGATACCAGACTGAATATTTTTAGTACTTATATAAATCATAATGTCATCGGCGAAAATTTGAATTTTGCATTTTTTGACTATGGCAGGTAAATCGTTTACGTATAAAATAAAAAGAAGTGGTCCCAGGATACTGCCCTGTGGAACACCCAACGTATTTTCAATTTTTGATGAAATAGTGTCATTATCTTTTGTAACTTGCATCCTTTTAGACAAATGATTTCTAAACCAATCTAAAACACTTCCTGTTATTACCATATGCCTTCAATTTACCTAACAAAATATCTCTATCAATCGTTTCAAATGCCCTCTTCAAATCCAAAAATACTGCTATGACAACTTCTTCTGAGTCTATGGTTCTTCTCCAATTCTCAGTTACTAATTGGAAATCTGTTTCTGTGGAATATTTTTTTCGAAAGCCTGCTTGCGCCTCCACTAAAATTTTGTTTTCTTCTATAACTATGGACTCTAATAATTTTTCAATGTCTGGTAACACATTTACTGGTCTCATAACGCTGCATCTTTTAGAATTTTTTATTTTGGGAACTGGTGTTACTGTAGAGCATTTCAAATTTTCAGGGAAAGAACTGCTTCTCAGTGAACAATTGAATAATGATATTAAACTGTTCGAATTTGAAAATGTTTAAGGTGAAATTAGAAAAACACTATGAATACTCAAAATGCATAGTGATGTAATTTTAATAGACAAGAATGTAAAATTACAAAAAATGTATTTCAAAAAACGTGTAAACGAATAATTATACAAAATTGACATTCTAGCGTATAAATTCTAAATAAAACTTGACGCCATTTTCGTTTAACTTCTTCTTACTTAGGGCGATATTTTTTTGCATATCATTTTGTTCTTGTTTTACCAACAACGCAAACGGTCGTTGTTCCTCGAGATGGAAAAAGCACACCGAATGACTCATCGCTGTTTCTTTCAGTTCAAAATTATGAGTCATCGGAAGCGACAGAGATTATCGAGACGGATTCACCCGAGCTAGAAGACATACAAATCGTCGATCAGGTGTTAGCCTTGCACGAAAACGGGCTGGAGCATCCCCTGGAAACGCAAACACAATTGCTGGAAGAGACCGACATAAACACTGTTCTCAGCACTATCCAGGTGGACGAGTTTACAGATTTCTTCACAGGTAAGACTCGACGAAAACAATGTAAAAATATCACATCCTGTCGTTCTGAATGAGCTGTCAAAATTTCTTTAATCGTTTTGTTTCAGGGACGCGCAACGGCGAGTACGGCGAACCGTCGCGAGAGGAGGCCGAGGAGCTCGAGAAAGCGTTGGCGGCCGTCGATAATGACGTGAAGTCGTTGGAAAAGCTGTCGGCGTCGCACGGCCTGCTCGATCCGATGATGCTCGACGAACACGTCCTCGCCGAGACGCTCGTGCACTTGCCAGAGGTGTTTCATAACACCGGAGTCACAGGGTAAGTAAGTCGGCGGACGGCTGCTTTGCAACATGGAAAATTTCGCCCACATTCAAATCTCGATATTTTCGGAACTCTTTGGGAACACATTTTATTTATCCACAGCAGTAGTAGTAGTAGTAATAATAATAATAATATATTTATTTCCAACAGGTATACACCCAATCACAGGAAATCAAAACAAAATGGTACCATATATACACATGTATACACACATATATATATATATATATATATATATATATAACTTGAGACGTGGTCATTGTCGTCTAGACCAGTTAGGTGAAAAATTAAAGCTTCCGCCTTTTGTTGGGTACTTCGACACAATTTAAGCAAAGAGGACTCTTTATACTTTTTTAATTCTCTCTAGCTTTCAATGGACTTTGCCATCATCATCAGGAGCTGCAATTACAATGATAACAGTAGCAACAAAAGTGTAAAATGAATTTAAATTGACTCAACTTACAGTAGTATGTGAGGATGTTGCTAATTGTTGTTTACGTATAGGATGAGGGAAACGTCCAGTAACATGGTGAGAGCTGGATACATGGTACAATGGTCAAAATTATATAAAATATGACAAGACAAGTTAAAAACAGATAAAAAATTATTTAAAAAACATTAGAGCATTACGTCGTGAAGCCACTTGATGATTGCACAAAATGGTGGTCATGGAATAATGAGTGAGATGAACCTTTGACAGAAGGCCGAAGGTTGTCAATGTTGTGTTGAAAGATGGAACGAATTGTGGGCGTGTGCCAAAACGTTGCCAAATCACTTCAGATGATGTGATTTTCAGAATGTTATGTAAGAAATTGTTAAACCGACCAGAGGAAGTTGAATAAACTATATTTTAATTAATGGGAATTTTAAATTAACAATTATTAATAAATCGTGAGAAGAGAATTATTAGATTTTGAGTGGAATGAAATTTGTTGGTGGAATCGGCCAAAACACAGATTATATTTATGGTTGTGAAAAGTCGAAATTTGGGGAGATATGTAAGTTCTCCAATTTTTCGCAGTTTAGCAAATATGAGTAAATGACACTCAGTTGTTTAACATCTGTCTTTTTGTTGATACAGTTGTTATTCATGAAAATGTGGGACATTTCCAGGAATAAACGTTTGGAAAGGTGTTTTTCTTTATCAAGAACTTTGATACTTGTGTAATTCATAGAATGCCCTGTTGTGTTAACATGAGATGCTAGAGCGCATCTTTCAGGATGAAGCCTAGCATCACTTTTGTGTGATGTAATCCTTCCTTTAAGAGATCTGGAGGTCTGACCTATGTATATTTGGTTGCAGTTGTTGCAATTGATGGAGTAGACTGTGTTGGTTAAGCCAAGCAGCGGGACTTTGTCTTTCATTTTTGAAAAAATGCAGTTTATAGTGAGGACGGATTTGCAAGCAATTCGAAAGTTCAAAGGACTGCACAATCTGATCAGCTTAGGGGTCAGTTCCTTGATATAGGGCAGGACAGCAAAACCAGGTCTGGAGTCCGGGTTGGTGCTTGTACTGTTTGGATTGATGCTATTATTGGGAATTACATCAGTTCCGTTATTTTTAGGGGTTGTGCGACTATTACCTGCATCACCAGAGTTCGGCAAAATATTGGAAGGTGAACTAAATAAGATCTTGTTAATCAGACACTTCGGATAACCATTATTGATGAACAGTTTTGATAGTTTACGTAAATTTGAGGTGTTTAAAGTATTATCTGAGATGCTGATTACCCTTGTTTTCATCTGTTTTACCAAATTGATTTTAATCCCTAGCTTATGGTATGACCTAAAATTGAGAAACCGACCTGAGGCCATAGGTTTCTGGTACCAGTCTACCAATAAATCGATGTTGTTGGTGCGGATGAGTCTTGTGTCTAGAAAGGGGACAGACAAGTTCTCATCTTCTTTATCAATGGTAAAACATACTACTGTTAGTTGAGTCAATTTAAATTCATTTTACACTTTTGTTGCTACTGTTATCATTGTAATTGCAGCTCCTGATGATGATGGCAATGTCCATTGAAAGCTAGAGAGAATTAAAAAAGTATAAAGAGTCCTCTTTGCTCAAATTTTGTCAAAGTACCCAACAAAAGGCGGAAGCTTTAATTTTTCACCTAACTGGTCTAGACGACAATGACCACGTCTCAAGTTACATCCACAGATTTGGGGTTTTTCAATAACATCACAGAACGTCATGGGAACCAGGCAGTAAGAATGATGAAGGACTATATATATATATATATATATATAGACAATGAATCAGAAAATAATAACCAAAAAAAGAAAATAGAAAAACATTAGTGATCTGAATGAACACATAATACGTAGGTGTTTGAATAATTAAACACTTCCACAAAAAAAGAGAAGAAAAAAAACATAAAAGTGCTCCAATTGAAGAATCACAATAACTGACACCATCATCAACAAAACGATTTTATCTCAATTGCTCCCTGTAAATATTTAATATTTTATTAAGACTGTCATGACATACATCAGCTCTGTTACAGATTGAATTGAATAAGATACACATTACCATTACTGGGGATCTGCATAAAATATTCGTCCGTGGTGTATCACAGTAAAATATGTGATTATGCCGACCAACTAATCTGGGAGCATGAAAATTAATCTTACTCAGTATCAATATGATTATTCATTAACTTATAAAGGAAAGTAAGAGCTTGAGCGTCACGATGATTCCTTAGTGATTCAATGCCAAAAAACTCCAACAAAACGTTATGATCAAATCCTCTTTCTGGGTATCTACCACTGCACTTAAAATACCAATACTTTAGAGCTAGAGAAATATTTAGTTAGCACATTTGGCTACATAAACAGAATAATTGTAAACAACTTAGAATTAGTAAATTCAAGCCATCTGATGTATGATGTAAATGCTGAGCAACCTATAATTGTAGATTTAACAAGTGATTTCTCAATTTTACTTTAGATTTTGTCAAAGTTTTCTGGTCTTTTATCTCTGTGAATAATTTATTATATTCAATCAACCCTTGATGGAATACAGATTTGTAACATATGTTATACTTTTTGGCCATTAAATGGAAGTCACCTTTATTTCTGGTATTATGTAAATGATGGTCGACATTTGATGATGTTAAATTAGTTAGACTTGATGGAAATATATTATTTTTTACTTTATAAATGAATATCATTACAAGATATTTGATAAATTTTTTTACATTGAGCCATTTTAATTTGCTAAGCATTTGCCTAATTGGAGTATATTTATCTTTATTCAGTATTATTCTCATGCACTTGTTTTGTAAAATTTTCAGTCTTTCAAAAATGGAATTAAATGCTCAATATAGAATAGCTGGACAGTACAAGAAATTTGGAAGTATGATGGTATTATAGATAAGTTTTCTGCTATATGAACTCAGACATCCAGAAACTCTCGATAAATCTTCCACTTTACTACTAATCTTATTTATAACTTTTTCATAATGAATATCAAAAATTAATCGAGTCAACAAAAACCCCCAGGTATTTAAAATTTTCTACGAATTCAATATCTTCACCATCAATATTCAGTTGAACATTTGTACATTGTTTTTTCCGATTAACAAGACTTTTGGGAGTAAAGAAAGTAAGGTTTTTTTAGCAAAGTTTGGGGCTATGTCAGATTCCACTGGTGAACAAAATTAAAATAATTTTTTGTGACATGGACAAAACAAGGTGGTTATTATGTAAAACGTACCCAAAAAGCCGGAAATAGCATTCGATTTTTTGTATCACCCACGGTTTTCTTGCAATAAGGCTCTTTATTTGCTGCTTAAACTCGTAAAATATACTAAGTGACATATACATCCGAACACCCAGTTTAAATGGTTTTATTTTAATAAAATTTTGTATAAGTACTTAATGAAGCATAATAAGTAAATGATAAAAATTTCAAAATGATTGCATTGCTTTAACGCCCTTTGACCTTTAATAATGTGTGGATGCACCCTGATGTGCTACGCATTCTCCATCGCGCCTAAGCATGCTTCTGATCAGGTGGTCAATGTCCTCCTGCGGTATCTCATTCCAGGCAACCACCAACTCCTCTCGAAGTGCTTCTCCTACCCATCATATCCCACACGTGCTCAATTGGGGATAAGTCGGGAGATCTTGGTGGCCATGGTAACAATGTGACATCATTATGTTGAAAGAAGTCTATTGTGACTCTTGCAACATGTGGTCGGGCATTATCTTGTTGGAACAGTTGGATCTGCCAGGGTGTCAAGATAGTGTAAAAGATGGGGTTCTAGAACGTCGTGGATATAACGCTGCGCGTTCATGTTACCTCTGATGAAGATTAAAGGTGACCTGGAACCATAAGCTATAGCACCCCAAACCATAACTCCAACAGTGTGATGAACATGTCTTTCAACAAAAAACTGTGGATTCCTCCTTTCACCACGTCGCCTTCTAACCCTGGCACGACCATCGTGCATGCCTAAACAAAATCGAGACTCGTCACTAAAGACAATACTGTTCCATTCCTGATCCCAGAGTGTCCGTTGTCTGCACTCAAGGCGATTACGTCGGTGTTCTCGAGTTAAAGGGAGGACCCAGTGTGGCCGGTATGAAAACAAGCCAAAACTTCTCATTCGTCGGTAAACACTTCGCATGCCAACAGGTCTTCCGTGTTCTGCAAACCATTCATTTGCAATGGACCTGGTAGTGGAGAAACGGTCCCTTAAGGCCAATAATCTTAGGCGGCGATCTTCACGGTCTGTTGTTCTACGGCGGCGTCCAGTGCCCCTTGCTCTTTGCGTACGGCCTTCTCGAAGCCATGCCTGACAACACCTAACCACAGTATCTACACTTCTTTGCAGTCTAACTGCAATTGCCCGAAAAGAAAGTCCAGCTTCCCGAAGTCCCACTATACGGCCCCTATCAAACTCACTAAGTTGACGAAATCGTACAGGTCTCCATACTCTAGGCATCGTAACCGATCGTAAAGGATGTCAAGAACCAAAATCCGCCAACGTTGATTCTTTACTGCGGCTGAAATATTCATTTTTACAGCGTTAGTGAATTAAAAAAGCAGTATAAAAACCGGAATGTCCAACTGATAATGCTGAAAATTTTTTCACTTGTTATTTACAGTAAATACATTGACCAACTTTTATTAAAATAAAACCATTTAAACTGGGTGTTCGGATTTATATGTCACTTAGTATAACTTCGAATCATTTAATCTTCGACTTATAGTTTTTGTAGAAACACTGACAATTCCTTTTGTCTCGATTTCGGCTTTTATTTATCTTGGGGTTTTAAACGGATCGTTGGACGAAATTACTTTTATTAATCTAACTGATTTAGTTTTCTAGGCCGACCACTTCTCTTAGAGGCTTCCAAGATACCTTTTTGTTTATATTTGTTCAATATTGCCCAAACTGCTTTACGCTTCAGCTTCAAATTTTTGGCAATGTCGACTTGCCGTTGACCATCTTTGTATAATGATCTTAGTTTTCACATCGAAAGAAATTTCTGGACCACGCGGCATGGTCTCAAAATCACTCAACTTATTCCACAATACTTGATGAACACAAACTAATCCTCTTCTGACACGTACTAAACTAATGTTGAAGAATTTGTCTACATATGTTTGTCCCTCATAAAAAAGTGTTTATATTCAGACTTGTATTGTGTTCATGCAGATACTGTAAAAACAAGGAATTTAGTTTTTCTACTAATAACGCCCTTTTGTCCATTACTGTATGTGTGGTGTTGGTACTTTATTTTTTCGATTCTTATATTTAATTATTGACCGTATTGACACCCGTTTTTTTCTTGTTAAAGGTGTTGTGGGGACAACATGGTAACCCAGACGACGAGTTACCTGATGACTGTACAACCACATTCCCACTCGTAGGTAGAAGAAAATGATAAAAACCGAAAGGTATCACCTCCGGGCAAAGATGGAATATCTCGATACCGTACACATTACCTGATCAGTAAAATACTTTAATCGTGAAAAAACTGAGGGTGCCGTTTTCACTATGTCACGATAATTTTCCTTGCCATACGAATCAACTTTGGATTGAGCGGAATTGAAAAGTTGGAGGGTTGGACAGGTTAAAATATAAAACGTAGGAAATTACAGGAAACTGCGAATTTTGGACTAGCTCTCAAAGGCGATTTTTGAGACAACTTTAGTTAACATAGATTGTTGTGAGGTTGATTCCAATTCCTTATCAATTTTTTTTCACCGATTTAGTTTGTTCTGTGTAAAAACGACATTTTCTTAGCAGTGAATCGCTCTTAAAAAACTAGTGGGTGGTGACCCCCTGCAAAGTATTTCAAATGCATACTTTCATTTAGAGTCTAATCATAGGCTTCTTACTTATAAATAACTACAATAAAATTGGATTATATTGATCAAGTAGTTTGTTGGGAACTTCTTATATAAAAAACGCGTTTTCTCATTCTTTGTTGTCAAATAAAAAGTTTTCGCACAAAAATTGGTGTACTCAATTTATGCGTCCATGTTTTAAATACCCTCTTGAACAACTTGCATCAATAAAACCAATATTAAGAATTTTAATCATACTACGCGGTGCCGAAAAATGGTTCAGTGTTTTGCGGTTCTGGTTCTTCATTGCGATTAAAATTTCCTGATCCATATTTCAAGAGGCATTTTTCATGCAAACGACACTTATTTTTACAAAAACTAATGACCTACAATCGTTTGCTAAATATGTACCCAGAAGTCGACGTCAAACCGGAGACGGGGGATAGGCCAAGTTATAGTAGTTAGAGAAATATAAAAAAAAAGTCAAATACTTTTCAAAAAAAATTGAAATTTGTAGTAATGTGAACTAAAATATCATGGGATGTAGATTCTATAACACCCAGTATATTGAACGATGCGACGATATCTGAAACCCGCGTCCTCAGTTTTGATAATTGGCGATATAGAAGCACAAACAGTGTATAAAGTTTCGGTAGAAAATTCTAGTGAGTGATGTTTTTTAACGAGTGGTTGACATCGGTCAAATTTAAATATCTATTTTAGTCTTTTTATACTGTCTTTTACAAACGTTAGGATCATAGTGTTAGTTCGTAGGAAAAGCTTATTTATGTTTCTTATTAGTTAGAATTTTGGCGTTTGTATACGGGGTGATTCACAAGTCGCGACCAAAAATGAAACATCAACACAGGACCGCATGTTCTATGTAACATTTTTTCCTCGATATACGGAGTGTTGAAGTTTTTTTAGTATCTTTAAAATCGTCAAATTTGGAATGTGGATTTACATATTGTCCACATTCAAAAGTCTTTACCGAAAATTAACAAGCATCAGGGGCGGAGATACAGAGGATTAGTCGCATTATTTTTCCAAATAAAAATCGTGCGCCACTTTTTTTTCGAAAAACTTTGATGAAACGCATTATCTATTCTTTCTTGTTACTGATCAACAGTATTAATTTGTTCCTCATGCACAAGTTGTTAAAAAACGCCCCACAAAAAGAAATCCAGGGGGTTCAAATCAGGAGACCTCGCAGGCGAATGTACGGGTCCGTTTCTGCCAGTCCATCGTTTCTAAAATGATTATTTAACCATGAGGTTATGTCACGACAAACACGCGCTGATATCACATTCGTACTCTCGTTGCTAACGGAACATCATCTGACACATTTTCTACGCAATAGGAAGGTACGCCATTTTTTGATTTTTACTCAAATCGAGAGATTTTGTTATTAAAACACGATACAAAAAATTGAGCAAAAAATATTGATATTTACATCGACTAAAAGCATTTCAAAATCAAGGATCGGCGCGTGGCTGGAGAATTGTTAAATTCTGTGAACTTTGACGGTGTTAAATGTCGAACAGAAAGTGGTATTTTGTACCAAAATGTACAAGTACGTCAAGTGCAACACCACAAAACATTTTTGTGAGTGTTCCAAAAGCTGCAAATAGAACCGATTTCGGGGCTCTTAATAGACGCAACAAGGTAAAAAGGTATGTATGATAATTTAAATTCCATGATATTTTACCTAGGAAGAAAAAAGCAGAGATAAATAGCCTTCAAAATTATTGCCACGAGCAAGCATTATTATAGTAGTAGAAAGATTTATTTAGCACATTTGGCTACATAAACAGAATAATTGTAAACAACTTAGAACTAGTAAATTCAAGCCATATGGTGTATGATGTAAATGCTGGGCAATCTATAATTGTAGATTTAACAAGTGATTTCTCAATTTTACTTTAAATTTTGTCAAAGTTTTCTGGTCTTTTATCTCCGAGTATAATTTATTATATTCAATCAACCCTTGATGGAATACAGATTTGTAGCATATGTTATACTTTTTGGTCATTAAATGGAAGTCATCTTTATTTCTGGTATTATGTAAATGATGGTCGACATTTGATCATGTTAAATTAGTTAGACTTGATGGAAATATATTATTTTTTACTTTATAAATGAATGTCATTACAAGATATTTGATAAAATTTTTTACATTGAGCCATTTTAATTTGCTAAGCATTTGCCTAATTGGAGTATATTTATCTTTATTTAGTATTATTCTCATGCACTTATTTTGTAAAATTTGCAGTCTTTCAAAAATGGAATTATTTGCTAAATATAGAACAGTCGAACAGTATAAGAAATTTGGAAGAATGATGGTATTATAGATAATTTTTCTGCTATATGAACTCAGACATCCAGAAACTCTCGATAAATATCCCACTTTACTACTAATCTTATTTATAACTTTTTCATAATGAATATCAAAAATTAATCGAGAGTCAACAAAAAATTTTTCTACGAATTCAATATCTTCAGCATCAATATTCAGTTGAACATTCGTACATTGTTTTTTTCCGATTAACAAGGCTTTCGTTTTACTTGTATTTAATTTTAGTCTGTTCGATGCTAACCATTTTGAGACAAGTTTCAAGTCTTCATTTATATAAGAGATACCAGTCTGAATATTTTTAGTACTTATATAAATCATAGAGTCATCGGCGAACATCTGAATTTTGCATTTTTTGACTATGGCAGGTAAATCATTTATGTATAAAATAAAAAGAAGTGGTCCCAGGATACTGCCCTGTGGAACACCCAACGTATTTTCAATTTTTGATGAAATAGTGTCATTAACTTTTGTAACTTGCATCCTTTTAAACAAATAATTTCTAAACCAATCTAAAACACTTCCTGTTATACCATATGCCTTCAATTTACCTAACAAAATATCTCTATCAATCGTTTCAAATGCCCTCTTCAAATCCAAAAATACTGCTATGACAACTTCTTCTGAGTCTATGGCTCTCCTCCAATTCTCAGTTACCATTATGTCTTAATATTATTAGCTTTCAATAGACGAAGGCAAAGCAGGATCAATTTTTGCGGAGAAATACAAAAAAATACGACCCATTGGAGCTAAACAAAAAAAAAAGCTTCAAATAGGTACTTACCGAACTACTTTAACACCGCTGCTCTGAGGTTCATTTAAATTTCCATTATTTGCCAAAAACTCGTACACCATTTCCACATTCACATGGGGTAAATTTCGCGAATCAGCTTTCTGATAACCCTGGAGCATTGTGCTTGCACAAATAAAGTACACAAACGTCACGCGGTCTAGCCTCGCGTCGATCCTTGATTTTAAAATGCGTCGACGTAAATATTAATATTTTGCACTCAAATTTCTTTGACCGTTTTTTAGTAACAAAATCCCTCCATTTTAATTAAAATAAGAGAAATACGAAAAATGTCGAACCTTCCAATTCTCTAGAAAAGCTCGGTATGCGGTTGCATTTAATCGTTGGCCATTGAAAATGCCGCACCAGACATTTCTAGAACATCTGTGTTGAAACGAGTGGATTCTTACAGAACATGAAGACCCCCCTTAAAATGCAGTCCAGTGTATGGTGTTTCACTTTCGGTCACGACTCGTGAATCACCGGGCGTACGAAAAATACGTTGTGTTCCTAAGAAAAATGTGTCAATGTTTTGAGTGATTCGCTAGTTCTATTTCACTGTTCCGGATGAAATAGTAACGGTTTTTAGATAACTTTGGTAGCTGTAGCGTGGCTGTTGTGGCGTAGAAATCACTGAAGTGTCAGAAATATCGCAACGTGATAACATTAGTATAATTTTTATTTCTGCTTGGTGATTCTACATGAACGTCGTGTGATATAGCGTTTCTCAGTTTGTGAAATCACTAAATTTGATGATTTTGAGAGTCGTTTGCATCTCAGCGAAATTCTCTTGCCGTGTACGAGTTTGCGAAGTGTAAGAAAAGTATCGATAGGACAACAATTATTTGGGAACTTCCTACAACGGATTTATCGAAAAGCACTGATTAAAAGAAAACAAGTCCAAACATTATTAATTAAATTCTTTCTTTCCCTTAGCAACAGATAACGAAACAGATATAACAATAAAGGATATCTGTTGATGAAAAAAATGCGAAAAAGTTGCCACGCCTGATCTGCCGAATTGCTGCTTATGTTGGTAGTTTCCATTTTAAATTATAAAGGGCAACATTTTGAAGACTTATGGGAATAATAAGTGATATTTCGTGTGTTTTTCTTTTCTGTCTGACCAAATTAAGAAAAATAAAGATTTTCGTAATTGTAAGGACGTTGAAATAACTTTCAAACATGCTATTATTCGATAACCCTTGTCATTTAAAATTTTTAAGGGAACGACCCAGGATTTTCGATAAATCCGTGGTGGACAGTTTTCAAATGTAAAAATGTATCTTTATTTTTTTTCGTCAAAATTTCTTTGCTATTGTCAGCAGGTATCTTTTGGTTGAAATTGTTCGTGAAAATGATTCCAAAAAAAAAACCTAAAATTGTGCTTGGATATTAACAGTTCCTGTTGTCCCGTTGATAGTATTTCTTATTTGATAACGTAAATCGTCTTTTTGTCAACCGTTTTAACTGAATAAATTTGATATGAAAATGTGTTTGCTGATTAGGTATGTGTACGGTGATATCTGCTGTAAATGTTGTTACTGTTGACCTTTTCTTGTTTAGTGGTGTAAACAAAAGGTGAAAAATGGATGTATGTAATTGAGTAGTATTTGGTAACTAAAACTGTGTATAGCTTTTTTTACATACCTTAAAATAGCGAATGAATTTTTTTCACTGACTAGACATTCTAGTTTTAACTACCTTCAGACATAGACGTTCAGTATATATTTTTTTGTAAGGGAATGCATTATGTTCATGAAAAATAAACAAATGAAAAATCGAATGCGTTTTTTATACCTTTCTGCATACCTTTCAAAATGACAATTTTTCGTAAAAACATAAAAAGTATACCTCTAAAAAAACAAAACTGTCTTTGGGTTAGAATGATTAACTACTAAAAAAATAGAAACTATCACCAATATCTTAATCTTAATAAAAAAAAAAAAAAAAAATAAGGACAAAGAAGAAGCGGAAACTTGGTAATGCCTACGTTTGCTTATTTTATTCACAGTCAGAATCAGAAATTACTTCTTCTTCAGCTTGTTCTTCCTTATTTACATTATATAAATTCTTTTTATATTTGTTTAAATGATTCTCATTAAAACGATAGGATAAATAGCACTGTTTTTTTGATTCCAAGTCTAATTTAATTGTAAGTAGTGCAGACAAAGTTGATGGTATTATTTTATTTCTTTTTTTTGTTTTGTAATCAAGCATATAAGAAAACGTTCGCTCAACATCAGCGTTTCCATGAGGCAATGTTACAATGATTAGAGCCAGTTGCGAAATAAATATTCGTCATTAAAATTTTTGAGGTCGTTTACAAACGACCAAAATTCAATGACATTACTTTTTGTTTTTAAAATTCCCTCTTTCTCACTATCACTAAAATAAATACATATTTTCTTTAGTTCCAAAATTGCCTTTTCGGTTTCAATATGAAGGGCAAATTTTTTTAAAACGGCGTCATGAAAAGTATCACTTATAATAAGACGATTGTTCATCACATCAACCGGTGAGAGAAACTTTAGCTCTGAAAAGAATTTTTCTTTGATAGGAAATCTTTTAAGGGACTCTTCTACCGATTTTTGGTAAAATGTGACACATTTTAATTTAAATTGTTCGATTGCCGTGTTATTGCAGTGTTTTATTGCATCCATTGTATGCGGACCAACATTCACTTGTTCAATTGGTAATAAGCAGTGGGGATCATTAGGATTTAGATTATATAATTTCTCATTTTTAAAATATTCTGGTCGCATAAAGTTTGTACATAGATGACGTACAAATCGCTCACTCTATATTGATATGATATTGAGCATAACTTTCTCTGATTGAAAGAGAGCATTAAATTGGTTAAAAATGGGCAACACGAATTTAAAAAACATTAAATACGCCTTAACAAATGGATTCTGTAACTCATTAAGTATTACATTTGCTACAGGATTTTTGTCTTAAATGGAAGCTAATCTAAATAGGCTAAGCAAGATGTCCCACTGATCCAAAACTCTATCAACACATTTGGATAAAGCAAGCCACCTTGTTTTACTAGGGCTTAAAATTTTTAATTTTGACTTTTTGAAATATTCCTGTAATTCTTCAAGAACACACTGCCTTTTTGGGCTTCTTGAGAAGTAAAAATATAAGTTTTGTAAAAGAGCTTCAACGTTGCTTGGAATCTTTTCAGCTGCCGCCACCGCCACTAAATGAGCAGAGTGGCAAATGCAGCCATTGACAATTATTATATTAGGATTATCTTTTAAAAGATAAGTTTTGAAAGATTCGTTATTGCCCATCATAACACTAGCGTTGTCGGAACAGTATCCAACAATATTGGTAATTTTTACTTGATTGGATATAACGCATTTTTTAAAAAGAGAATATAAACCTTTGGCGGTACCTTCATCTGCGTTTATTTTAATTATATCTAATAAATGGGTTTTAATTGAATTTTTATGAATATACCTTACAAGAATGCATAGTAGTCTTGTATCGCTCAGGTCTGTACTCTCATCCAATAAAATAGAAAATGGTTTATTTTCCAATTCTGAAATTATTTCGTCTTTAATAACAGGAGCCAGCACATTTTTAATTATACTTATGCATTT